CGAAGACCGAAAAGTTTCCTCCATATGCTGAGCAGCCCGCGCTTGACGAGGACGAAGAGGATCTCCTAGTCCTGGCCGGCGCCTACGATGATGACGGTGATGATGAGGATTCCTCATCAGTCATGTTTGAAGACGATGATGCTGAGCAATCTGATGAGAAGAGGGAGGAAGATTACGACGACGCCGAAGGTCAGATGGTCTCCGCCGCGCTCGAAGAGTCCGCAGCTGAGGCTGGCCAAGGTCGTCTCGTCGAACAGACTGCAGTTGAGCAGACTACGATTGTTGAAGAGACATATGCTACTCGTCAGATCGTGGTTGACGAGAACTATAGCGACGAGGAAGAGGCAGAGTGAGTGGTAGCTTCCGGAGAGACATCAAGTCGCTTAGCACAGCGACCGCTTGTCGGATATATGAAGAGGCAGTGACCTAAGTGTACTGAGTATGGCCTTTGTAATTTTATGCTATTATATAAGTGCGCATCAGACGGCGCAGTGTCATTGGGAGGTTGGACGTTATGTGCAGTCGTTGATCTCCTCGTGGAGTAGTACTAATGCGATTTTGGTTTCTGCTTGTTCCAACATTCAATAACTAACAAACCCGCAACTGCTGTTGTTCGGCTTGTTCCGCTTCCGCGTTTTCTTTTTTTCAGTGTTGGATGGTTGTCGCGCGAGGTACCCATCTTCTTCTAGCGCCCGCCACAACATGCTAACGGCTTCCACTCCGCGCTTACCTGATTGGTCAGACTTCGGACAAATTCCGGGTGCGTGATGTAACGCGCAGCGCTCAACAGCTGGTTGCACTCCGCAGCTAGTGACACTTCGGAGTCGTCGACACTCCGCAACTTTGTACAAAAGGTAGATATCTCGATCGATTAACATGCATCATCAGCCTGCACTGAAACAAGCCCCTCGAACTCAATCATCTTTATTTTCACCGTCCTGATCATGGTTTCTTCATTCCTAGTCGTCGGCGCTACAGGCAACACTGGCCGCAGTGTTGTTGAGACCCTCTCAAACCTCATCAAATCTAGCAAGACATTCTCCGACTATCGCATCCTCGCCATCACACGATCTGCAAACAGCTCTTCAGCAAAAGCTCTCGCCAAATTCCCCCATGTCGAGATCATCGAATACACATGGGTCGAGATCACCGCGGACTGGCTACGTGAACACAATGTCGCTCGCGCATTCATAGCCTCACACAACGAGCCCAACCAATTCGCCGAAGAATCGACATTCCACCTTGCAGCCCGTGACGCTGGCGTCCAGTACGTCGTGCGCATCTCCACAACAGCCGCGAATGTGAAGCCAGACTGCCCTGCCTACTACCCACGTACGCACTGGGCCATTGAGGCCATGCTGGACTCACCCGCCTATGAAAGTATGCACTGGACATCACTGCAGCCAAACGTGTTCACGACTTTCTGGCTTATGCCCGCTGCTGAGCTGATCAAGGCCGTTCGCAACGGCGGAAAACAACACACATTGCGCACGATGGCGAGCGCTGATGGACCGGTCGGCGTCATTGATCCCCATGACGTTGGTGTCTTTGCTGCGCATCTCCTACTCCAGGAAGACACCTCTGCGCACAACAAGCGCAGGTATGTCCTCAACGGCCCGGAGGACATCACAGGCGATGAAGTTGTAGCGATGGTCGAGAAGCACATCGGTGCCAAAGTTGAGGACGTTAAGTTCAAGGATCTGTCTTTCGTAGACGACATGGTCGCTGCGTCGAACCAGGCAAAGAACGTGATAGGTTCTATCAAGCGTGCTCCGCAATCGGCGTGGAACGGCGAGGCGAAGGCGGAAACGACAAGCAAGGAGGTGCTGGAGATCGCAGCGCCGAAGAGGACGCCTGCTGATGTTATGAAGATGTTGTTGGCGTAAATGACGTAGCATTTAGACTTAAATGAATTGGCATTACTACTACACTATCCGAAAATGCTCAGCATGTACTCGTCACAGCTATTGACCACCCTGCGACTTCTCGTAATGTTCGTGAGACACATTTACTCGCTTCCTGTTCCACCAGTCAAGAGCACCAGATGACACTCGGAAGATGCCCCAAACGGTAATGAAGTTGGCTTGTCGTACGACCCTGGACAGTACCCAGAGGTTCAAGTAGACGCCCCATATAGTCTTTGTATTGAAGAAGACATTGAAGTTTCCCATCATTTGCATGACCAGGCGGCCATTCGCAGGGGTCGGATTTACCGTGCTGTTGATCGCGTAATTAAAGCATCCACCGACTAAGTGAAATGGTAGGCTGTCGAAGAGGAGCACACGTAGGATGTAGTACACCGTTGATGCGAAGGATTCCTTCAATTCCTGATTGTTTCTTTCATCGACAGATCCCAGATGCCAATATACACTCTGATGTCTCGAGATATTGAACGTGCGATCGGCGTCAGCAATCCAAGAACGCCACGAAGAGGTATCTGAATATTTGCAAGCTCTCGTAGCGTAGTATTGTCGGTGATATTCCAGCTCGGAAAGGACGAAGAAAGCAAGCGCAAAGTGTACAGCGCGGTGCTGAAGTCCAGTCGCTTCGAAGTTTGGCTCGGCAGTCTTGCCAATAGCGGTCGCGGCTTTATCGAGGTATAAGAGTATGACTGTAGTGATGACGCAGTATGTTTGGGACGCAGTCATATCGGCTGGGCCGAATCGTGTTCCGAAAGCGACAATGAGGCCGATGTATGGCGCGCTACCCCATATCATTACTGTGGGAGTAGACGTCTGCGTGATGAGGCTGGAAAGGTAGACTGCAAACATGCAAAACGAGACTTGCACGGCGTAGCGACTGGCTGAGACACACTTCCATCTGCGATCTGCCATAGCTCTGGTAAGTGAAGGCATGGGTGCGAGGTTGTTGTGTAGCGTTAGGGCGATGCCCAGGGGTGTTCTTGTAGCGGTGTGGGAGAAAACGTCGGAAAAGATGGAGGCTTACGAAGACTTTGGCGGTACCATGGTAACATCACCCCACAATGCCACAGACTGAAGCAGACCCTTGCACAAAAAGCCCAGGATGTCTCTTTAAGTTCTTCGCATATCGGTCGCCTCTGAAATGCAATGGCTGTGAGTGGCTCGCTAGGGATTCCTACCTGGGAGTCATCGTTGGCGTTGCAACTCTTGGTACTCCAGTGAAGCAGCCTGGATTCCAACAATTCACACTTCCGACTCTCTATAAATGTAGTGCTACCTCCGTCTTTTAGTCAAATTGTGCAGCCATGGCTTCCTTACTCACCCTGCCCCGAGAGCTTCGCGATGAGATCATCGATTTACTGCTACTTACGCACAACCCGCAGCCTGTGGATGTATCCGAATTCGACATTTATGAGCCATCTGAACTCTATCAACCTCGGTCGTCCGCCTTTCCTCGCCCCGTAAAGCACCACGCTGCTGGCCTGTGTCAGGCCTCACGTCAAATCCGTGTCGAGGTTCTCCAGCGCTCATGTTCGCTGCGCGTGGGGTTGCGATATGCGCTCCGAATCGTTATTCATAGGACGGAAACTCGCGAACATGGTTTACGTCTGGAGCCTCGCCTGCGATGGGTTGACACACCTGTTGCCGATGCCACCAACCTCGACAGATTCGATATCTTGTTTGAGTTAAACGACTTGTGGCCCTGGGGATGGGTCATGACCTATAAGGATCGTTCGAAAGTCGGTCGCCTGCTGGATGATGCTATTCACGCAGTCATGTATAGGTATGGACGCACCAACCGCAAGACCACTATCAACAACGTCAATATCGAAGTCACCGTTAAAGAAAGTAAAGCATTTGTGCGCTCTGGTGTAGGTCTCAAAGGCGACAATGCTTTGGAGAAGCTGGAACGGATCCTTTCTGCTGGCGGCCAAGAATTCGCGAATTTCTGCATAGCAATGGCTATCAAAAGTGACTGCCTCGGATACGTTAATCTGGTAGAATATACGGATACACAACCCGTGTCACTCCTTGCACAAAGGACGACCAAATATTGGGAACGAATTGGTAGCGTTTCCCTGCAGGCCGGTACTGCGGTGCGCAAGAAGACCTGGTACATCGATCGAAAACTTATGGATCGCATGGAGAATGTCCAAGATCCGAAGTACCACGAGTTCATTGCAGGGTTACTGCTACAAAGAGGTCGTGCTGGCCTGGATCATGAGTCCAAGCTTGCGGAAGATCACTACGAGGATCCCGAAACGGTCATCTTGCAGGGAAGTCGTCATGTACATGCCAAGGGAAACTCTACAGGCGTCCGTATTCACAAGGCTTTGTCTGGCCAGTACCATACGAAGGCGAGGTACTACGGGGCTTCGAAAGAAGCGGTGAGACGGGAATGTTTTCGAGAGGAGTGGAAAGCTTGAAGGGGTACTAAAGATAGGATTAGGGAGACAGAGATGGCAAATAAGAGAAAATGGAGAGGCGGCGGGAATGTCATCTCGGGGCTGCGCTGGTGCTATTAGAGGGGGGTGGGATCGGAGTTGCTGTCGCGTCGCGGACGCGTCGGGAACACTGTATAGTGATGATGTCATAGCGTGCTGCAAACTCGTCCTCATTTCCTCTCCATCCTTCGCCCCTGCCCACCACCCGCGCATCTCATCATTCATCGCTCGCCGCCCTAACAAATTGCATATTGGCACAAATGGCACTTCCAACGAATGACGACAGTGCCATAAAGCCACAGGTGATTTTACAAGAAGGCTCAATTGCAGACATTTCATTTACTCATTCGATTGTCACACAGGGGCCTGCTACTGGAACCGCAAGCCGGTAAACACCACGAAGCTGGAATGCTTCAGCAAGGCTCCTGGTGTACTAATGGCGCCTCGCTATATTCATCTCCATTGTACCACACGACAGACTTGACGCGCCGCCAATATCTTTACTGCCCGTTATGTCCTTCACTTATACTCGCCCTCAATCCGAACTTTCTTTATCGATGTGTATGAAGCCGCTTGGGGGCCTGCTCTGCCGACATCTGTGGATATACTTTTCTTGATATGCTGGCGTTTACTTTTAGCGCTTCTTGGATGCCCGACCTGCTCCTTCTCCAGCCACTGCTACAGGCTTCCGAGCGCGTTTTCCGCCTGCCTGCGCATCTTCTCCCTCCCCTTCCTTGTTACCACCCTTCTGCTTCTTGGGCTCTGATGCCGCAGCTGCCTTTTTCGCTGCATTCCTTGCCGCGCGAGCAGCGGCTGTGATCTTCTTCTTCTCCGGATCATGGAGATGGCATCGCCAACTCGCACGATCCTTCTCTTCAATATCTAGACTTCTTCGCTGACAGGCCGTTCCGTCATTGTTGGTGCCTGTACACCTAGCGCGGACCTGACCCTGCGCGAAGCCTCCAGGCTCTGCTTGTTCTTCCTCATCAGTCGCTCCGGAGTTCATGTCGTCGTCCGCGGCAGATGTGTCACCCTCGTCCATCAGGTCCTGGTCCGATGTGTTCGCCTGGTCGTTGACAGGTCCGGATTTGGTCACGGAGTGGGCGTTACCATCGTTGTCGATATCTCGTGTGTGCTCGGCCTGAGTGACGTCTCCTTGGTACTCCGGAAACTGGTTCCGAGCAGCGTCTTCGAGGAACGACCAAAGCGCGGAGTACAACTTTGGGTTGTATATGTATGTATCGAAGCCAATTCGCTCGCGTATTTTGCGGTACTCCCGAAGCATGGCCGGTGACACTTTGATGTCGTGGAACTTCTTGTCGAAGGTAGCTTTTATCTTCGTCGCTTGAAGAGCCCACATGACCCATCCGGATAGCTCGTCCCGCTTGGCGGTGAAGGTGTTGATACTTTTTACCACTCCGCTGCCTGTCTCTTCTGGAGAGTCACTGGTCGCGGCGTCCGGAAGAGCGAAGTACTGACAGTAGCCAACATACTGAGAAATGTCGTTGATCGAATGAAAGGGTGCGGCAGGTAGGTGCGCGACGGCAAGGAGCAGTTCGCTATGCAACTGGATGTATAGACATTCGTCCCTGCTCCAGTCGCCTAGCGCAACACGCGTGACCGCGGGTTCATCGGGAGGGCTGTCATTGTCGGCCATGGTGCGCGATTTGCGGTGTCTTACTCTGACTTTGGGGATTGAGAACCAGTCGCAGGGTCGATTTGAGGCCAGATATTGACGAGCAGTAGGAGCCGTTTGTATGCGTATCGTCTTTCAAAACAGCGCACCGTCCTGAAATGTAAGGGCGATGTTACAATACTGTCAGACAGGCGAAAGACTGTATCTTCATGGGGTACGCATCGCAGCAATGGACGTTGTGCGCTAGTCCGATCAATGTATAGCGAGATATGTTTGATCAATACAGCCATGATTCTGTGATATTCACTCCGCCAAATAGTTGCCTAGCTGCTACTGATCCTCTTTCATGTCTTCCGACTACTCTGATTTACCCCTCCTCAGCAGCTCCCTTCTGTACAGCTCCTGCATCCTCTCCCGCAGCTTCTCCCTGAGCAGTGTCGAATTGCACCGAATAGGCGTCCACAATGGCGAGGTCGTCTGGATTGTCACGACATTCCTTCTGTAAGACGGCATTCGATACGCGCAACTTGTCCGACACCTCGATTTCTAAGCGATACCGCAAGGCCGCCACTCGATTCGCCAACGGAGCCTTGCTCATGTACTCCTGATACTTGCCTCTGATTTGATCCTCTTCCAAACCCTCCTTCTTCCATTTACGTACGTGTGTATCGCGGACCAAATGGCAGTCTCCGTAATCCCGCCTCATCTCGCACAGTAGCTTCTTTACGTGACGCTTTTGAAGTTGCGCATCATCAAACTGTCGTTGATACTCCGTTCCCACCTGAGCATCAGTCCAGTTATCCTCGGTGAGCCACTTTTTGATCATACCCTCCGTAATGTCGGGATGTTTGCCGATTTGCGTTTTGCACAGTCGATGTACGGTGCGAGCAAGCAGACGAAGTTTGTGGTATTCGTAGGCCATTTCGTGATACTTTATGGTGATGCTCCACCGTGTGCCGCCGTTGTCGAGACATTCGCGTGTGGTCTCGGTTTTCCATTGTGGTAGGTTGCCGAGGTCCTGCCTTAGTTGGTTTGTTAGCTGCTCAGCTATGTCGCTCATGATTGTCGAATGAAGAGCTTCTGGCGGCTCAGACTCAGCTGCTATACGCCGCTTATAGACCTGCTCTTGTTTGCTGTGACTGATCATTCGCGGCTCTTCTGACTGTCCATGTGCAACTATACCTAGCCTGATCAGTCCACAGATCGCAAGCATTCACATCAGCTAGATGACGACTCCTTGGAAGAAGAGTAATAGTCACGTTACGCGCTCATGGCTTTGAAAACGTGGATTATGTTTTAATGGGAGACTTCATACACATCCTAGCTAACAGTTGATAACCATGGTCCTTGCGCTTCCAGTAGGACGGGCGTTATAGCGAATTCTTGTACTTGCGTTTTCGTCGTTCACATGCGATACAACGACTCGCGATAGTCATGGCGCAACGTCTCTCAAGGTTTCGAAGGTGCATAAAGTAATGTCAGTACGTAAATCCTGCACTATGCGCACGCTTTTAGCTCACCATGAGTACCTTAGACCAAAGAACACCCTTCTGAACGACCGAGGATGGAGTGGGTTTGGGTTCCGAGGACTTCAGCGAGGATCTACCGCCAACAGTAAGCGGGGCGGCGGATGGAGAGGGCGGAGGTGCGACGTAAGAGTCGTCGTGGTCGAAGACGTGGATATCTTTTGGTTTTTCGATGCACGATGCAGGGCAATCGCAGCCAGGCAGTCTACGTTGCAAATTAGTTGATGCTGCGACAAGCAATGTTGAAGTGCGCGTGGATTCTGGGTCACACGACAACGTGCGGGATAGTAATGTTGTTTTTCGACTTACTGGTTCAGCGACTTTCCGAGTAGGGTCGCCACTTCCACTTCGTGGTTGTGACCATGTGTGCGGTAGTCTTCCTTGCGTTGTTCGTATTCCTTGTTGAGGATGTAGTACCACTTGAACTTGGTGCAGCTCTTGATGCATCCAATGAGGTGTACATGAGGAATATCTTTGATGTATGGGAACGCGAAGGTGAGAATACAGTCTACAGCGGTTCTCTGGCAAGGATATAGCTGAGAGAAGGTAACGTGATTTCTCCATGGTGTCTTGTTTCGGTCCGGTCCATATGGGCTTGGAAAGAACAGCTCGAGGTGTCTGAGGTCTGGAACGCCTTGTAATATACTTCCGTGACTCCTGCTAACCGAGTGCTGGATAATCGGCTGCGTATCGATACCAAAGAACTCGAAGTAATGACTGAGGTTAAAGTGAAGATGGATGCGGCTGAGTAGCTTGTACGGAGATGTGGGGCTCGCATGGATGACTTCCTGAAGATTAAAGTGACTGGTGAAATGTTTTCGACTGCCTTGGTAGCCTGCACGCAGAGCCTCGTCGCGGAGTCCCTTGTTTAAGAGGAAGACTGCATAGTTCGGCGCCTCTGGACGAGCAGCGGAATTTGGTTCCTCTGTCGCATTAGGTGTAATCTGTTTAAATCCAAGGCTGACCCTATGCTGGTTCGTGACACGATTGTAGTAGGTGCGGGGATATATATTCTCGCCGAGGGCATGCTGGAAGATGATAAGGCGGATCTCTATCGGTAGAGACATCAGGCGAAAGCTCTTGCCCCGCTTGCTCCACCACAACTGTTGAGCGAGTATGACACGAGGTATACCTCGATTGTCGGTACCATGAGTAATTTGAGCAGGAATTGGAAGCTCTAGAAGCCAACGCTTGAGCTCAGTCCAAGGCTCTCTGTCAGCTCCTTTGCCCTTCCACTTCTTGCGAATCTGCACGTTATCGGTAGTCAGCGTCGTAGTACCTCGAGCAACGCGGATCTCGGTAGCCATGGGAAACTCCTCGAACGATTGTGTGAAAGCATACAACTTCACAGCGCCACCAGCGTGTCCAGGCCAGATGGGTAGAGTCTCGTCCAGGTTGTGTGGCCATATTCTTGCTGCTGCAAACAGCATGTGATCTTTGCTTAGTTCGCGGATGGCTTTAATGACCATGCGAATCAGCGCATCGTTCATCTGACGAGGTGGGCCATTCAGTGTATAACGATAGTCGCGATGAGAGGTGAACTTCTTGTTCTCTGGGGGTGGGTACATCTTGACCGTGAAATTGCGGCTCGGGTCGCCATCTTGGGCGAGCTTCTTGAGTCGTGTCTGTAGCTCAGGCATGGCTTCGTGGTGACGATGAAGATGCGCTCGGATAGAAGACTCTTCGCTTGGTAAGGGGACTATGGTCTGGCTTCGTTATCTACCCACCGCAATGAGAAGAAGGGTTGGGAGTCGAATGGCGTGTCTGGACGTCCAGCGGTGGTATACCGGTGTGAGAGTAGCAGCCCAAAGGTAGCCGTAAGCCCTTAAAGTACCTGTAAAGGGGAGAGGAGAGGACAAGAAAGTACGATCGAGGAGTTGACTATTTGACGAGATCGAAGTAAGCGCCAGGCATCAGTTACCAAATAGCTTATATACGAAACCCCGCACTGACCTCCGCGGTCACAATGAAGGTAACGAGCGGCCTAAAAGTACTCCAGGTACAGACAAGCACTACACTACATTAGTGGTCTAGCCGATAAGATAGCGTTCTTCGGGGCAGCATATCGCAGCATGTGATGGTCGACATAATGAAAGCACGCTGCGTTGGAAGTTCCGAGTCTTTGTGATGGTCGACATCGAGACTCGGTTGTGATTGACTGTTCGCACAACCCTCCTCTTTATCACGTAAGCCCTCTCGAAGGATTGTTATTGGACGAGACCTCGCAAGCAACATATATTTGCGAAAGTATGCTCAGCGTGGGAAATGTGACGCCCATTGTTGTTATTGACCTCGATCTCGATAGTCCGAGTGGTAAACCATGTAGCAACTAACCCCCGTCCCATCATCCACAGCCTCCCACGTCACAGCTCAACTAACGCGTTCGGACGATGTGTCATTTTTCACTTGCGCGATGTTGTTTTGAGCTCCTCTACCGAACGTAATGCGCCGTATTGGATGTTATCGATGCAGTCGTGGAGGCCTCCGGCTCTAAGCTATATTATAGTTTAACTTCTTCACTATTACCACATATAGTTCTAGTATAGGCCTCCGACAGCTTTTGTTCATTTAGCTTGATTACGTTGCATGATTAAAACCTACTCTACCATACTACGGGACATTAGGATCGCTATAACTTAAGGAAAAGAGATCATAGCAATGCAGTATATTGTCACCGGTATTGCCGAACTTCATGAGGTAGCACATGCTCGCAATACCCAGCCAATCGAATGCGATTCTAGCGTGTCCCCAGAAGAAGAACACTGACGTGCTTAAAGCCACCTCATGAACCACCGGTCGTCGCGTGAACCAGGTTAAGGCGCATATACGACGCAGGGCGTCCATCGCAGCAGAATCGTTAACGGGTGAATATTCGCTGCTGACGCTGGTCACCTCGGCACCACGCCACTGATACAGCACATGACGTTGTATAACAGGATATCCGAATCGGGTAAAGCCATTTTCCTCACATACGAATTGGCATATGGCATCAAGTGAATCTTGAACTACCTGATCGTCTTCATGTTGCAGCCACACGAGCACGCGAACGGCACTTGCGTAGATGAAGACCGTACGCTGCACCTGCATGGTCCTCTCCTCGTTATCGGCCTGATTTATGCAGAGCTCGTCGGCCCAAAGCGTTCTCGTAGTATCGGCGCATCGGAAGCGCTGCAAAGCCTCGAACAGACTGCGGGTGGTGCTGACGACATGTCCGTTGCAAACTACAGTTTTGCGATCGTTGAGGTCACCCCAAGCATAGGAGATGGCTTCGTAGCGAGTGTCGTCGTCGTCTACGTGGATGGTCCTCAAAGAGCAAGTCACAGGCTCGTCCCAGGTGCCGGGAGCCAAGTCGATGACTCGAATGGTTCGATCTCGAGATAATGGTTCGTATTGAAGAGCTTCGTGTATTGTGTGAGGGTTCGAATGCGTCGTCTCAGCCTGGCCGGTATGTTCAGACAGAATAGAATGCGCCTTTGACTCCGACTGCGGTCTGGTTCTAGGTTGGGCTTGGCCAGTATGTTCGTGTCTCCTCAATCTTGACAGGCGTAGTTTTGTGCCGAGGTCGTAACTCTGCGCGCGCATGCGGTCGAGTAAGCGCTCCATGATAAAGGATCTCGGGGTTTGAAGACCTTGATGCTGCACGTAACAGGTTGGAGATAGCCTATGTGGTACCGTAAAGTCAAGCTGATCGATCAGGCGTGCTGCGCCACCAAAACCCCGCACTCACCCAGCTTCATTGGCTCGCTGACAGACCCTCATATGGGAAGGAACCCCCATCTCATATCAGAGCGCCACTGTTCAGCATAACCTCCTCTTTCCTCCGTCGCGCCTCAAGCTTCTTCTCTCTCTGCGCAAGGTATACCTCCTTCGCCAGCCTTCGCTCCTCTTTCTTAACTTTGTATTCTGCCTGCAGTCGTTCATTATCCTGTTCTTTCTTCTTTTCCGCCTTGATCGCATGCTTGATCTTCTTGTGTTCGGCCGACGTTATACGCCATGGTCGCGACAAGACTGCCTGCCTGAACGCAGCGGTCTCAGCCCAAGCTTGTGCTTCCTCGTTTGTCGTTTTGACAACCGAGATGCGCTGCAAGTCCAGTTGCTTTGCGCCTCTGAACTCTGAGATCAGGCATTTGGCCTTCACGACTGTGCCGATGTCTAGGGCTTCGCCATCCACCACGACGTCGAAGATGCCGAATCGACTGACGATGTTCAAGTTCTTGATCTTCGTGTCCGAGGACGTATCGACGGGGTTCTGCTCGACGGGAGGTAATCGTACAATCTTCAGCTCGATGGTGGCGCCGCTTCCGTCGTCGATGGTGAGGGCCGTGTATTTGAGATTGATGTCATCAATTGCTACTACGACGCCGACGATGCGTACATAGCGGATAGGGTGATTGAGATGAAAATAAATGCGCTGGGCTGTTCACGTGTCAGCAATAGTCGTAGCACTCGTTAGAATCGCTGCTACCTTGAAAGTTCTTCTCAGACCGAAGAGCTTGCACATCTGCCGCAGTGAGCTTCACCCAGATATTGTATGTAGGTGATGCTCTGAAACAATAGGCGGGGTATAGCCGATAAGGACGCGGTGGCGGATCCGTTGACATGTCATATTGTGTTGCTGGTGCACAAGGCGGGATGGAAGCAAAGAAACGCGACGCGTCTCATCGCCACCTGGGCACTGCTCTACGCTGTCACGTGGCCTGTGACGCCAAGCCGACTAACCCCAATCCAAACGCATCGGAAGATCGGCGCTCTGCGTTCACTATCTGCATGCACCTCACCACGCGATGCCATCCGATGCAGCCGCTCCCAAGAACTGTGGCTTGATCGCATTGCAGGGAACAATCAAGGCCTTCACTCTAGCAAACTGTATCTCTAACCCTCCGCCCCGCTGCCAGCAAATGCATCGTATACAGGATGGGCAGCAAGCATGCTACCAGGTCCACCCGGCCACCTGTAGCCCCATCACACCTCAACACCGCCGTTTTGCCATCATGCCCGACAATGGTCTATCGCAAAAAGCAGCCAAGTGGGACCACTTTACCGCGAACTAGACCTCGGTGCCGTCGAGGCTACCAATAGTGCGACTCCCCGCTAAGTCGGCATGAAGCTGTCCATGACGAGCTAGCCCAACCTGCAGCAAGCTTGGAGCTATTCCCAGCTCTCGATTGAGAGCTTCCAAGGTATTCCGGTCAGACTTAAGGGCAGGGTAGCAGCCCGGTATGCGCCCGACGACTGCTGATTTTTGATCTCTCATCATTTCGAGGCTGTGCCTTTTCGTCGCATACTACTAACCCCGCAGCATTTTCTTCGGTTTCTAGACGTTCGTTGTCGCAGACTTTCGCTCCTTCCGGCTTCTCTCTCTGACAGCCTCGGCGACTTTCATCGCGATGAGATCATTTGCGCCATGGAGCCTCGTCGCTGCGACATTGACATTATGTGTCGCGGAACCGATCGCAAAGCCTGAAGCTATACCACAGCAGATTTCGAACAATGCGCCATTCTCCGGCGCTGTGTATATCGTGAACCCAGACGGACAGCAAGTCGTAGCGCAAGACGCAAATTGGTGTCCTTCGTCAGCTTCAGTAAGCTGCAGCAATGTCAACCAACCGAGTTGGTGAGTAGGAATCTTGAGAGATGGCATGGCTCGTGCTAATCAAACCCAGGTGCTGTCCATCAGGCTACACATGCGCCGTTCCTGGCAACTCGAACGGACTGATCGGCTGCTGCCCAAGCGGAAACCAATGCGGAGGCGCAGTAAACGTCGCACAAGTCACGACAGTGACCGTATATCCCCAGCAGCAAACGGCTGTCGTGTACGCTCAACCACCTCCTCAAACGACCGTATACCACAACCCGGACCAGGTACAAGGCGGCTTCTGCGCTACAATCACAATGGATGGGCCTGATCTACCGAGAGCGGAGCAAGGAGGATGCGGCACAATATTGATCGTTGCAGGGGCACCAAGTTTGCAAGTGCTAGGTGTAGGTGCCGGCGTAGTTGCGCTGTGCCTCCATCTAGCGTTGGGCAGGATGTTCAACGGCGCATTATGAGAGACGATAGATGTTGTAATGACTTTACGAATTACGAGTTTACGCGGTACGATATTGTACGCGGCGCTAGATTACTCGATACATAACGATAAAACTACTGGTTTCCCCTCTTCGCATCCTCCTCGTCGTTCTTTGGTACACCGACGAACTTGGGTACGGTGACAGCGTTCAAGTGACGGAAAGCCTGTGTAAATCATTAGCATGCTACTCAGTTTGAGCAAGACATGTGTGTAACTTACGTTCGCAATACTGCTATCCGGCAACTTGCCATCCCACTTATCCTCCACCTTCTTAATCTTGCCCTGCTCATCCAAATGAATAGCAACAACACTCTGAATCAACTGCTCCTTATTCAGCCCCTTGATAACATATCTCGTCCTCAAATCCATCAGAATCGGGTTCCCCGCATCCTTAACCTGGTGGTTGAGCCTCTCAATCTCGCTAAACGCACTCTGCAGTCCGTACCATTGCGCAGAGTACTTCTCACGTCCCTCGGCGATGGTGATGGGGTCCGTGAAGGTGGCGTCGTCGCGCCAGAGTTGCAGTTTGGGCAGCGAGGGGCGGCCGGCGAAGAGGTCGAGGACGGAGCCTACGATGGTGTTTTGTTGCTCCGAGAGGGTGACGCCGGGGGCGGTTTGGACGTTTTTGGTCTCGATGTTGAGGTTTGATGGAGCGGATGACATTTTCGCGGTTGTGATTCTTGATACCTGGGATGAGAAGGCTGGTTTGGTGAAACTACGCAGTGTTTGGTTGTATGTTTGAGTTGCGAATGGGCGGAGATAAGATGTCATTGTAATAGAGAAGACTTGAGAGAGGCGTATTGAATGGACGGGTTATTATAGGTAAATGTATTCGGTGGCTATGTACTTGCCTCACGAGGCGTTTTGTTGCTTTCTAGGCTGCTATCCAATTGCATGATTTTGGCACGCGTCATCATGAGAAAGGTGGTACGAAACGGTCAGGGTTACGCAATTCGCGTGGTGATCGATGGAGGTGGTGGCATTTTGGTCGATGCGAATAAGTCATGACGCAATGGTGGTCCTAGGTGAGATTCGCGGGCGATCCCTTCGCGCGTCGGGGGTCGAGGTACGCGAGCCCTTGCCTAGGTAGCGGGGTAGGGGCTGGGTTGTCCCGAGAGCCGGTTGTGAACGTAGACGTAGATGTTGAACTTCATGTATCTTTTGCTTGATAGTCAAAAATCTGTTTTACGAAGGAGACGACTGATGCTGCTGCTTAGCGTAGTCCGAATCGGGTAACTTTTCGAAAGCCGTCGATTGCGGGTGCCCGGACAATTACCACGCGCCGTCTGAACTTCCTAACGACCTCGGAATCGTCCATGCCCCCTCCAAGTGCCACCCCAGTAAAGCCAGCACGCATACATATCAGATATCAGAGTGTATAAAGCAGCGGAAGCTAGGATTTATTCTGTTGCTCTCTCTTGATCAAGAACCGACTGTGGGGTCTTCAAGGCGTCGAGAACAGCCAATGTCGCCTAGCCCATCACATCAAAGTTTCTCATAGATAAGGACCTCATGCGATATCTACACAGGCCTCAGCTTCGCCGCCTGTATACTAAAGCTGCGCTGTGCTTGCCATCGGGATGAATATTTCGGGTCATTGTTGACAGGGATCTTCAGCCGCACCTTCCCAGAGATGGGAACCTTTCGTCCCAATAACATTTGGCCCGACAGCTGGTGGGACACTTCGCCAAAGGTAGTCTTTCTCTAGAGAGACTTATGTGATGGGCGACTACCCAAGTGCGCAAAGTCGGTGAGAATGGTATAGGTTGGTGAGGCACAAAATCTGTCCGCCAGTGTGCACTTTCATCTTCGTTTATCTTGAGTTGCTGTTATTTACACGTCTTATCACCAAGTCTACTATCTCATCCAACAGCCTCTTCCGGTTTGGCATTTTACTCCCATGCGGCAAAGCGAAATATGACGTTACTCCTCAGACGAGCTCCTGACATCGCTGGCAGCTCTTCACCGGCGGTAGCTCTCGAGAATCGACACATGTCGGAACAAATGGGGCAGCAAAATGGCAGGACTAGCGCACTGGTAACACCTATTACCTTGAGATCACAAACATGGAGTGATGAGGCGTCGGGGCAGAGCACCACGTTCGACGACGTGCCAATGACCTCAAACAACGAAACGACTGCGGACCCTCCAAGACCAGAGCCCGTTACAAAGCGAGAAAGCAGATTCGCGTCCCTCTTTATTGCGCTACTTGCTGTCAGTCCAATGGCTATCGAATACGATGCAGCCGATCAGCAGACTATGGAGGCAGCACAGGCAGCATCTGTAAGCGCGCCGCAACCGGAATCTTCCAAGAAGACCGGTAATCCGACAGAAAACGGAATCAAGAAATCAGAGATCCGTAGGACCAAATGGAGGCGGTTCAAGCACGAACTGAAACTGAAGATGAGGATTACGGGCAAAGCAAAGGCGAAGGATCGGTGGAAATGGACACAGGCGGAGGACATGGAGCTGAAGGTTTTGAGATCAGAAGAGCGAGATGTCTATACGGATATGGAAAGGCAGCATAGCAGCTGATGTCAATGTTGTGCAGATTGCGCCTTGAGCGCACCTCCTTGAGCATTGGATTCTATGCAACTTTGATATCATTTCCAAACCAGATCGCTACTGCTCATGACCCGCAGTAGCAACGCTCAATATTTTCTCTTCCAGCCCCGGAACATGAACGCACTCAATGCCATGTTCCTCTAGCTTCTTCCGTCCCGCATTCTCGCCTACAAACTTCTCCGGCTCTTTGACGCCAAGATACACCTTCTTGATCTTTTGCTCTCCGTCCTTCCCTCTCGTTCGAATGAGCCGATCCGCGCATGGAAGATTACCACTGAGCCGAAGATTACAAGGCTCCATGGTAGTGTAGATGACGGTGTTTGATGGTAATGCTTCCCCAACTCTTTCCTCAGGCAAGCCGTGTGCTTGAGCAAGCTTCAAGAGACAACATTGCTCCGCATGTGTGTTTCCTTCGCATTCCAGAGTGTAGCCGCGCGAAAGGATGCTCCCAGTATCTGCATCGACTAACAGGGCGCCAACACGGAAATTCGAAGGTTTCGGCGGCGATTCTTGGGCTTGGTCAAGTGCCAGGCGCATGTATTGTAGGTGGTCGTTGGGGTCTGGACCTGCGGCTGGGGGCACCGGGCCGTCCCATGTTCGCACGGGGCCTGTGTCGTAGTCGACTTGCATGTTGGTGAGGGAGGAAAGTGAAGGTGATGCAATTGGCGTTCTGGGCAATGGTGATTGGGGAAAAGTGGATCCGAGACGCTAGCTCCGTTAAGTCCGGGCTCACGGTCGCGTCGCGTTCTCACGCAGGCGTCGACCGTCAGTGGTCACACAACCTCCATATCCATAACACAACACTACAACATGGCACGAAGACAGAGAAAAGAGCCGTCTCCCGAGAAATCCGCCGACGATGACTTTGTAAACAACGATCAGAGCGAAGGCGAGAACGACATGGACGAAGAAGATGGCCCTCCCAGCATCAACCCGTATGAGGTTCTTGGACTCGAGACAGAAGCCACTGCCGACGATGTGAAGAAGGCATACCGCAAGATGGCGCTCAAATGCCATCCAGGTCAGTGCCCTTACTACACATTGTGGAGTGCATCGCTGAACTATGAGCAGACAAGGCTGCACCCGACGAGAAGGAAGCCGCCAACAAGGCCTTCCAAGAGATCGCATTCGCCTACGCCGTACTCTCCGACGATCGCCGACGCAGGCGCTACGACCTTACTGGCAGCACAGCTGAGACAATGGAGGACGACGATGACTTCAACTGGCTGAAGTTCTACCGCGAGCAGTTTGAGAACGTCGTTAATGAGGAGGCTATCAACAACGTCGCGAACGAATACAAGGGCAGCGAGGAGGAGCGTCGCGATTTGGTCAAAGCGTTCAAGAAGGTCAAGGGTAACCTGAACAAGGTATATGACCTGGTCATGCTGTCCGACATCCTCGAGGACGACGATCGGTTCAGGAAGATCTTAGACGAGGAGATCGAGAACGGCACAGTCAGCTCATACCCCGCGTACGAGGCGGAAACGGATGAGACGCGTCAAAAAGCCAAGGACGCCGAAAAGAAGAGACGTGAAGACTTCGACAAGAAGCAGGCCCAGAAAGAAGAGTCAGGGACTACAAATGGCAAGGCCAAAGCCAAGGCGAAGCCGAGAGGCAAGAAGAGCGGTACAGACGACATGGCAGGTCTAGCAGCTCTGATCCAGCAGCGCCAGAAGTCACGAGCAGGCAACTTCTTCGATTCGTTGGAAGCCAAATACGCGCCCAAGTCACGAGGCTCAAAGCGCTCGACCCCCATGGAGGAGCCATCGGAAGAGGCCTTTGAAGCCAACCGCAAGAAGCAGAAGAAGAGTGGTGGTTCAAAAAAGAAGGCTAAGGATGAGAGTGAGGAGGAGGAGATGGATCTCGACGGGGAGGAGGACATTGGCGATTCTGAGGATGAGGAAGAGGAAGTGCGGGCGCCTAAGAAGTCAAAAGCCAAGCCTAAAACACGCGCGACACGGGCACGTGGGCGGGCTTAGTACTGCTGACCGTGCCTAGGGTGGACCTTGGAAAGTCTTGCATATGGCGATGAATGGGCGGCGTTCTCGAGATCATATACCACAGCAGTTTGCATAACACAGCGTCGGAAGCTTTGAGTATAGTCTACTTCACCGGGGCATCGTTTGATATACTTCTTGGCCCTCGCTAATCATATCAAAAGGCTCTTTTAGACCATTCCATGTCTTCATACTCTCTCCATCATCTGAACTACGTGACAGCAGAATGTCGTGATCCAGTGCAATCGCAAGCTGATGCCGTCTTCCTAGGCCCACGTTTGCCTCTTCCTCCTCGTTCCCATCATCAAGGCACTATAGCGTCCGCTCTCTCACCTCCACAAGTGACGGTGACGGTTACCTTGAGTTGCTGGAAACGACGTCAAGCAAACAGCTTATACTGCCTTGAGGTTATTACGACGTTAAGGCGACTTCACGTTTTGTTACTTTGTGAGCACCTGATGTGGGGTTGTCTTACTAGTCCGCACTCACTCTCACGTTCACCACGCGTTTCCACGCTTGATATCACACTATTTCACCTCGTCTTTCTTGTTCAAACCGTCTTTCGCAAACAACACGCTTATCACGCCAATCTTCTGCGTTCTTTACGCGTCTTACCAAGTTTCTCAATATCCTCTCCAACTACAACACTATCGTGCCTAAAAAATGCCGGGTATCACTATGGCTATCAACCCAAAGGCTCCTACAGCGAGGAAAGTGAGTTGAGATTTCACAGCATGAAGAATAACCACAAGCAGGATGCTGACAATGACAGAGCCCCATCACTTCATCACCGATCACCAAAGTCCCCGCAAAATCCCAGCAGCAGCGCAAAACATCCGTTTCCCAAGCCGTTCCGAAGATCCAGCAACAACGCAAGATCTCGAATACACAAAGCTCGCCCAAGGTCGTTGTTCAGCAACAGCGCAAAACCTCGGCTACGAAGCCTCCAGCAATGGTGGAGAATAAAAGGAAGATCAAGGCTGAGGTGGGAAGAAAATTTGGAACGCTCTTCGAATACAAGCTGACAACATTGCAGGGGATTTCACCGACGATGGCTGATCTCCAGGTCAAGCCCGTTGGAGCGGATAAGGGTACTACTCGACCAGAAGCTAGGAATGAGACTCCGCCGAAGAAGCAGAAGATTGAGGAGATGAAGACTGAGGTACGTGATATGGAATACCAAGGAGATTCGATGCTTACACTATCCCAGATCATGAAAGACACCACAGTCATGTCTCTGTCCCGACCCACTTCCACGACGCCAAATCCGCAGCTCTCATCACTACCACTGTCTGTCGCCCCCCAATCCACCCAGATGATGAAGAACCTCCTTTGCCACGTCCTCCAAACCCAGCCCACGCTGCTCCCCTTCGTCCCTTCCACGCCCATAACATCCACCCACATCGACAACATAGCGCACACAATGTGGCAAATCGCCTTCAAACACGTCGTCATGCTCCAACGCGCCTGTCAATACAGCGCCATGTTCTCGCCCGTCAAACTCGCAGCGCTAGCGAAGTTGAACTTCTTGCCCAGCTGGTGGTTCTTCAGAGACTTGGTGGTTGGGGGGTTGCCGGGGTTGGTCAAGGGTGTGGATGGGATGGGAGGGGGGAAGGGGGATGGAAAGGGAGGGGTGGTGATTGATGATAGGGAGATGATGGGGGCTTGGGATGAGGCGGTTAGGTGGTGTGGGGGTGTTGTTGCGAGGAGGGAGGGGGTTGGTAGGGTGGTGGGGATGGAGGAGGAGAGGGAGAAGTGGGAGGCTGTGAATGTGGCGCGGGAGGAGGAACTGATGCTGGACAGCAAGATGGCGGATGGTAGCGAGAGTGGAGAGGGTGCAGAGTGAGGCAGACGTGACGCTGTTCGGTAAAAGTGCAAGCGGTTTATGATGGAGTTGACGAGATTTGGTAGCGGGCGTTCGAGGATCGGGAAGATAAATGTGTAGTTGCAGCGAACGAGACTTTGCATGCAGATGAGATGAAAGGACATATTCCAATCCAGAGCCCTTCATGCAACATTGGCTATCTCGAATATGCCTTCATTTTCCTGGTTTTGCAACGACAACAGGGGTGACTGCAATCCGTGTCGCATTTCGTTTGCCTGCATACGTCATGTCACATCTTAAGAAGTCAGCTAATCATAAGGTAACACACACTTGCGCCTTGATGATAGTTCGTAAAATGTAACGTAGATTGCAGCCGCCCCCGCTGACAACGCTCGCAATCCTCACAGGTCTCGTAACTCAATCGTAGGGAGCAGATGAGTATGTGCACCGCCTTCGTTCTCACGATCCCACGCCCATCGTTTGGCAAGAGAGGGGTCTAGGGAACCATCCAGCATCTCCACGACGTAGCGACCAATCGTAGGCATGAACTTCCATCCGTGGAAAGAGCCGCCTGTCGCAAGATATAGATACTGAGAATGGGGGTGCGGCGTGATGATGAAGTCTTGAGATGGTGTCACAGCATCCCTACGAACTGTTAGACCGATTTATCGTAGTGGTTCGGAGATGTAGCCTACCAGCAAACACGATACTCGTCAAACTTGACGTCCTTCCCGGGTTCACCCAGTATGCCATTCTTCACAAGTTCGAGTCGTTTTTTGAGTGCTTCGTTTGGTTCCTTCTGAGCCTGGCCGGGCTCATCTGGCGGGGAAGAGAACTCTTGACCTGATGCCTCGTGTTTGAAGGTATTTTTGTAGGCCTCGTCTCGACAGAACTTGACGGTGTATGGGTCCTGATCCGACAGCGGCGCTGTCAGTGGCATTACTTCCCCTAAGTCATGTCAGTAGGAGTATACGCGGCGGGCTTTGGTGTCCTCACCTCTTGTTGGTAAGACAGAATGTACTGTGACTGGTATCTCGGTGTATTGTTTCCCATCCTTTGGGTCGGGATTGACGATTCCAGTGACCACTGCCCCGGCTACCAGACGCCCGTCGACTTGTAACTCGCTTCTATTTGGAGCACTGTCGGCGATTAGTTGGGCTGTGCCTGCACCAGTAGCCAAGATGATGCGATCTGCTGTGATGTTTTCACCACCCTTCGTTAGAACTCCGGTACATCCTCCGTCACGACCGAAGGTCAACACGTCGACATCTGCTGCGGCATACTTGACCCCTGCCTCAATCGCAGCGTCAGTGTAAGCAGTTAAAGCCTTGGTGGCTTCGGCCCACCCACTGTCTCTGTTGACGAATACTTTGCCAACTTCAGAGAAATCGGTGTTATCGTAGAAAGAACCATACAACGCCTTGAGACGTTCGGGGCTCACCATCTCCGCGTCGACTTCGATACCAAGCTTCTCATAATTCTTCAAGACTTTTCTGCCCAAGTCGGCATTGTCGATATTGATCATACCGCTTTGATGGTAGAACTGGCTGAAGAGTAGGTCATGTCGCCAGTACTCTATGGCTTCCAGCGCCTTTTCCATGTAGAAGATGTCGCCATAGTCTGCACGGATGACTTTGTTCCAATCCCAGGATGCGGCAAGTGGGCAGGGGTATTGTGTCCGGTCAATTAGTTGTATATGTGCTTCGGAGTACTTCCTGATCAAGTGGTAGGCAGTGGAGACACCGAAGACTCCAGCCCCGATGATAAGGTATGATGGCTGTGCGCTCATCGCACATGGTAATATTGTAGCGAGTCAGTAAATTCCCTTAATCTTGTGGACGTGCATGAGTTGAGTTAACAGTTCGCATGCTTTATGTATGGTGTTGACGATTAATGCATCCATGGATGAGTCGGAGACGGCAGGAGCGAAAGTGGTGATGACGCACACCCCTGTCATCCTCAGAATCGCGCTAGTCCCCTCAACGCGTCGCGTCGACCAACGCTCCAACGCCCCAACTTATCGATTGCTCCACCCACCCACCATGACGCCCAAGACGCGTTCCAGCAACCAAGACGCCGACTACAGGGTCTACTATTCCAAGAAAGTACCCCAGCAGGTGCGCTTTCCACACAAGCGCAAGACTGTGCGCCGGCGCTCGACTCCAGTACACGATGGGAAGCGGCAAATGGTCTTCCTGCCGGACAAGATGAGGAGGCAGGGTACTCCTGTTGTCGCTGACTCGGATGAGGACAGCGACACAGATCTGGAGGAGGATTTGGAAGACGGAGGAGTTTCTATCAAGGCTGAGGTGGAGGAGGAAGAAGAACAGCAGCCTGTGAGGCAGACGAAGAGGAAGGGGAAGAAGCGGAACAGTGATGGAGTGCAGCAGGAAGACAACGAAGAGGATGAGCCAGTGCAACCTACGTCTAAACGGCGACGGACGGCAGCCACGCCTAAGAATCCTCGCCGCTCGAGGCGCGCCGAAGCCGAATCCGATGACGACAACGTTGCGACAGCCACCAAGACCAACCGCGAGCGCACATTACGGCGACAGTCAACAATGACACAATTGGTAGACGGACGGAAGCCCTTGCCAGACGACGAAGAGCCTAGCTTTAAGCCCGTGAAACAGGGCTCGCGACTGAGTTGGGGTGGACGTGGCAAAAGCGAAGCAAAGAGCGACAGGAAGCAGCGCACGTTAACGCAGATGATACCAGGCATGCGGCCACAAGAGATCATGTCGGATGAGGATCTAGATGAGATATTGAGCGATGTCGAGGCAGAAGACAGGGCTAGTCAGACCTACGGCGATGCGGTTGCGCAGCGCCTGGCGCAACAAGGGTTTTATCGTGTCGAGGGGAATGGCGTTAGAGAGGTCAACAGTGCAGACGAAGCTGGAAACGACATGGAGCAGGACCCAGAGGACAAACACATTAAGAAGGAGTCCACGGCAAACTCGCAAGACACCCCGGAGTTTGTGGTGCAGTCAGTGGAAGACGAGATGGACGAGGACTGCGAAGACAGCTACAAACCCACACAGTTTATCGAAGCGCCTGTCACAAGAACGTCCCGGGCGACTAGACGAGGAAGAGGACCACGAGTGGCAGAGGCGGAGGAAGCTTTCTATGCGCCGCAAGGGCAGGCCAGAACCCGCAAAGCCCGCTTCAGCCTTCTATCGACTCCAGAGAAACGCCGTATTCGCGAGATTCCCTCCTCTCAGTCACCCGCCGACTCGCCACTATCGACCCAAGTCGCTCCACAAAAGCTACACCGCTCTCCTCTCAAGCAGCGCTCGGATAACCCAATCCTTGCACCAGAGACACCTTCGAAACGCAAGCAGGTTACTTTCAAGATGCCTTCGAAAACGCCTATACCACCACCAACATTAAGGAAGTTCGAGAGTACGATTCAAGACTCCGAGGAAGAGGATGATGGTGTCATAGAAGAAGACCTGCCTACTATTGGACGTCGCGGAGTGGAGGATATGCAGGCTCTTTCCGGGCGCCGTGAAGCTGCGACTGGGAAGACCGTTGGCGCTGATACTCAGGCAGTACTCGACAGGATCGACCAGGCATGTGCTGATGCAACCGGAGAGGAAGCTATGGAGGATGTGGTATCATCACTGGGATCAGATGATCTACCTGAGCTTCGAGGTCACCAAGAACCTTCTCCCGAACTTGGCGACCCGCAAAAGCAGTCGAGTGGCAGATCGTCCTCTACTGTAGCTGAGTCCGTCGCTATCAAACAGGAGCCCGGAAATGACGATGACGACTACGAGGATGACGAAGACGACGATGCAACGATATTGCCTACAGTCCCGTTCAATCCGTCGAACGAAGAGAGGCCAATCAAGAGCGAGGCTAACACGAGTAGTGAAGGAGAACTACCTTTACCAGAAGAGCAGCTTCGCTCCACCCCTCCAGTCATTGAGGACCTCAATCAAGAAACCTGTCCATCCACACCAATGATCATCAACGACGATTCATCGGAAGAAGAAGAAGCCCCAGCACCGGACCCAACGCCTCCACGATCAAGCAAGGTACATGTACCGCAATCAAACTCGACAGACATCCACCAGTCAGAAGACCTAAACAGCGAATCTATACAAGTCCCTCGTTCACCGTCACCCGATCACGAAACCCAACAGTCACACTCCAGCAAAGCAGAACAACAACTCCACAACGAATGGTTCTCATACTCGCAATACATAAACGCCCGAGCCCCCGAATCCTCAAGCATGCGCGCCGCCCCCGACGCATTCAGCTACAACGACACCCCCCGCCTCCCCCAACCCACAGCACCCCAGTCAAACCACCAACCATCAGGTTACCACCCCTCTCAAGCCACAACCGTGGATGAGATCACGCAACGCACACCCCGACGGAAGCGAATCCAGCACTTTTCCAGCACGCACACAACACCGCATCGTATCGCTAGTTCTCAGCCGAATATCTCGCCGGGGAAGCCGCCGCCGTTGTTTATACCGAGTAGTTTCCCTAGTCCGGAGAAGGTTGCGGCGGAGGGGGAGGGGTGGAGTAGTCCTATGTTTGGGATGACGCAGGCGACGCATGCTGCTGGGGGGTGGAAGAGTAGTCAGTGGGCGAGTTTGGAGGATTTTAGTATTCCGCCGCTGCCGCCGGGGATGGATGGGGATGATGAGTAGGGAGGTGAAAGGTAGAATCTAATCATTTCTGAATTATGTCCTTGCACATGATGGACATCTCTTAAAACACCATCGCCCCACCGTCCACGATGATATCCGTCCCATTAATATACCTCCCCGCATTACTACACAGCAGCACCAACGGCCCCGTAAGCTCCCACGGATGCCCCATGCGTCCCATTGGATTCCTATCATTCCAACTCTTCCTTGCCCTAATCAACCCATCCCCATCATTCAATATAGTATCCATATACCCCGGACTCAGACAGTTGACCCTGATACCATAGCTACTCCACTCCGCCGCCAAACTCTTCGCCAGCGATAACAACGCCGTCTTGGACGAATTATACGCGCATTGCGGCTGAGGGTAGTTCGTGTGATGCGCGGATATACTCGCTGTAAACGTAACACTACCCCCCGTCCCCTGCGCACGAAACTGCTTCGCAACAGCCTGTGCACACAAGAACGACCCCGTTAGATTGATATCGTGTGTGCGCCGCCACTCATCCGCCGCCATCTCAATCGCGTGTGTGCAGCCTACGACGCCGGCGAAACAACACAGCATGTCTATGCTGCCTAGTACTTTGACGCTGCTTTCTACAGCTGAAGCAATGGCTTTCTCGTCGCGTACGTCGACTGCTTCGGTTATGATGCGCGCGTGGGGGAACTTGGAGTGCAGGGTCTTGACGCTTTCGAAGGCTTGGTCGGGGTTCATGTCCCAGAGGGCGAGGCCCGTGGCGCCGTGTTCGAGAAGGGCGGCTGCGGCTTCGAGGGCGAGGGTCCCGGCGCCGCCGGTGACTGGGGTGGTGGTGGTTAGTATGATGGTTGTGGTGTGTGGTGGTCGATGTGGATGAAGATGGGCGAGGTTACCCTAGAGGCGTTCACGTACTGATCGCATTGCCCTTGACCTGGAACCTATACTGCGCTCTCTCTGCGGTGGAAAGGTTCTCTGGTGGTGGCTTGGGTGCTGTAAGGGGGTTGTCTGCAGTCGACAGGGTCATCTCTGGGAGCTGTCGGTTGACGAGCGCGGCGCGGTCTTCTGCGTCTCCTGCCATTTTGATTGGATTTTCGCGAAACGATGGGTTGAATGAGACTTGTGGCGTGTGATCAGGGGAATTGGGGGCTTCAAGATGGCCGATTCGGCCTTCTTATGGACGCGTTCGGACGACAGAGGTCCGTTTGTTCGGATTGTTGGTGGAGCGCGCCCAGCTCGAACATGACGTCGGAAAGGGTCCGCCCCACTGGGTGCGTGGTGCGCTTTCACCCCACCAGAGAGTGAGGAAGGTGTGCCGAGCGCGAGGTTCACTGCGACACCACAACCTTTCATTTCCACGGCGTTGATGTGCGACCATCAAGACCTCATTCATGCGCCTCGGCGGCTCGTTCGCACGACTACTGTGTTCAGACTCAACATTCCCACAAGTCGCGATGTGCGCATCTGATCCGATCTAATGATTTCACACAGCGCAACATGTGGAGCGACTTACCACTGAAGGGTGAATGCCTTGATCAATATGGTCGCTCAGTGCCGGCACTCTCTTTCACCCAAGACCTATAATGGTTGTAAGCCAACTCTAATCACGTCTATCATGTACTTCATCCAATTGTGTGTGAGATCCCACTCAACGGCATTTGTCATTCCAATCAGTTCAACCATGAAATACTCATCGCAACCGACCCCGTCAACCCTCGAAAGAGACTTCGGACCGGAATGGTCCGACCGCCTTCGCATGAATATTGTTTCCAACTCAGAGCTGATGATTGTCGAACAAGAAGCATGGAAAGATCAAGCACATATGAGGGATGATAACTTAGCCGACCCGAGACCTGTTGACCCATGGAGGCTGATAACTCCACCGGGGACGCCTCGGAAAGAATATGACGATCAAAGAGAAGACGTAGACGATGGTCTAAGGTTTGAACAGGAATACGAACCTACGCAGTGGGCGCTTGTCAAATTCGATTACAACTTCGAAGCTTTCAAAAGAGTCAAAGCGCATCAATCACGCTGTAGTCTGGAAACGCAAAGCTTCGCGAAGAAGATCGTGTGGTATATCTTTCTAGCTGTCCTGCTCCATGGTATCTGGACGCACTGGAATGAGTCGGAGAAGCGCGGCATGTGCGATTGCCATTGTTCGTACTGTAGCGCAACAGTGGATTGATGTTATGGATTGTCTGAAAGGAGTCGGATGAAATGAGACGATGTATGCAACGCTTTCTCAAGCATACCATAAGTCTACCGCGATGTTGGAAAGATAGGTCGTCTTCTTCACGCATTCTTGTACGTGCTGGTACTTAAATAGACGATGAAGTCGCTGTATTCGTGTATAACAAATTCTTTGATTCTTCGTGATGGTACATAAATACTGGCTTGACAGCAATTCCATCCATCACCGCGCAGCACGCAATGCAGCTAAGGTGCGGGGTCTCCACATCGTACCTCCCGCTAGCAATAGTTCGATCTGCATCATGAAAACGTACAACCACCCAGCTGATCAACGCGCTTTGGTTATGACCGGCAGGCCCGGGATCTTATCACATATCAGTTCGCGACCCCTTTCGACCACGTCCAATGGCAAATGAAGACGGTCTGGTAAGACGCGGTACCAAAAGAGCAAGAACGCGACACGGGTCAGTACGTCCAACATCTGAGAAGCATACCACAATAACCACAAAACACTAACACACATCCCCCAGCTGCACAAACTGCAAGCTCAAAAGACGCAAATGCGACGAAACGAAACCCACATGCGGTCGCTGCAGCAGCAAGAACGAAAAATGCAACTGGGCTTCTCGCCTCACCTTCCGGGCAGAGAACGCATTAGGTGTCGGGCCATCGTCGCTGCATCGCTTGCCAGGACGACCACCAGCGCGCTTCAAGATCAAGGATGTGACTGCGGAAGTCATACGCGACTATCAGCATTACGATCCAGTGGAAGACCTTGATACACCAGATCGATTTGATGATCGGCAGACTCCTCCTTCCAACACCATATCGCCAGCTACAGCCGACGACGAGCAGGTACCACCGCATCACGGGCACACGTATTGGCAGCCAAACACGCCTTTCTCGGCTGCGGAAGACACTGTAAACCATCTCCAGTCGTCCCAATATGTTTCTTTACCCACCCCAGGAGATATTGGATCGATTTGGCACAGTCCCGACACGACCACGTATCTAGACGACAGCGTCTTCCTACCAGGTTCAGCGTATCTCGATGCGCATTCTACGTTTCGGAGCCATCTGATACAGGAAGTGAGATCTAATGTGCCGACGAGAGACGTTACACCGGATGCTGCGCGTGTTGGACAGGGCTGGGGAGGGGTGCAAGAACATTACGCTGAAGATGCAGCGAGGCATATTGCGGAAACGTCTCTCGATACTACTCCCGTTCATGACGCAGATACGACGAGCATCCCGCCACCCCAGCTGTCCGCGGAAGAAGAATTTGAACTATGGAAAAACTGGCTCGATGAAGTAGCACCCTGGATCGATAAATTCGACCATGAGCGTCATTTCCAACGCACACTACCCATCATGGCGCGCTCGCACGATCACTTGCGGTACTCGATGCTCGCTCTCTCGGCGCGCCAAATAGAGCGGAAGAATAATAGTAAACACACATCACGAAGTCTAGCTCTGTATCAAACCGCCATCCAGCTCGTGCTACCGCAACTACACACACGCAGCACGCCGGTAATAGCATCATGCGTAGTGCTATGTGTACTCGAGATGCTGAGTAGTTCGGCGAAAGCGTGGCATCAGCATTTAGATGGATGTGCGCACCTGTTGGAAGCTGTGGGGATTAATGGGTTCAGTGGTGGTGTGGCCCAAGCACTGTTCTGGTGCTTTGCTCGCATGGATGTTTGTGGAGGGCTCATCGCGTCTTCGAAAACGCTTATACCGGTTGAGCACTGGGCTTCTTCAGGAATGGGTCTCGATACCGACGTAGACCGTTTCCGTTCCGTCGGCAACTACAACGTCTACGCGTGCGAAGCCGTGTATCTCATTGCCCAAATCCTCGATCTACTGTCTTTCCATTCCAACCTAGCCGGTCGCGTGGGCGCCACCCCACGCTTACCCACAGACACAGACACCGCATACACCGCTCGCTGGACTCAACTCTGGCATCACATATCCGCATGGTATACCACGCGCCCCGCAGAAATGCTCCCCATCTCCTCCTTCACCCCACCCACATCCCCCTTCCCGCGTCTCCTCTACAGCAACCCCGCCGCGATGTCCGGCACTCAACTCCACCACACCGCCTGCATACTGATGCTCCGCCACAAACCTCCCAACACCACCGTAACCCCCAAACCAAACTCAATCTTCTGGCACGCAAGACAGATTTGTGGGATCTCGATTAGCAATGATGATCATGCTGCGTGGACGAATGCGATTCAGCCGCTGTGGATTGCGGGACAGTGGATGAGCCATGAGAGTGAGCAGAAGGCTATCTTGGGGTTGTTGGAGAAGATTGAGAGACTTTCGGGGTGGAGTACGAAGTGGAGGGCTGAGGATTTGAAGGAGTTTTGGGGGTAGGGGGACGTAGTGGTGTGAGGCTGCGGTTCAGCTGTCTTTTACAGTATGTGTGTGGTGGCGGTGTTACGCGAAGCCTTGGGTTGTTTGCCGCTGGAGGCGCATTTGATATCCTCAATTGGTGAGGCTCCCAATCATGTTCGACGAACTTGGAGGCAGAAGTTCAGCTTTCGAAGCTCAGTGTCCAGTCGTGAACGCCTCTCGTGTTCACGGGCTTGGCGACATCTTCTGGCCCCCCATGTTCAGCCTCGTAGTCTGGTCTAGCATGTTAAAAGCTTTGCTGTTGCCAGATGTTGTGACAGTCTTATCTATATCGGCATAGCCTTACTCTAATCCGAATCCGCCAACATGGGCAATAGCTTCGGCTTTCTGAGAGGCGAAAGCGGAAGTGGGTTCCAGTTTAACGTTGTGGAGGCCTGCAAGGCTGAGGATGTGGACCTCGCTCAGGCTTGTAGCCTGACGTTTGGCGCAAATCATGACTTGGTCTCGATTGGCAATGTTACGAGGGGAAGAATGGCGCCGCAGCCTGGTATAGCTGGAATCGGAGTAAGTCAAGAAGATAATTCGCAGACATTGTGCTGACATAGCTAGATATGGATCGCGATGGTACTGTTCTTCGTCGTTGTCGCAATCTCCTTAATCTTCGTTTTCATCGAGCTCTGGTTCAGGGCAGATGTCTCGTAAGTATATCGGAGTGTAAGTTGTCGAACCAGACTAATCGTCGACGCACATAGTCAATTTGGCAGCGCCTTCGCGAGCTTCCGAGACAAACCCAACAACAAGACTCCCGAGAATCCGAACGCGGATCCGACATGGAAAGATAGAGTGCGCGCAGCTGGCCGAACATTCGTCTTGGGCGTTGCAGACACTCAGACTATCTTCGTCGGAGCTTTCCTTCTCGGTTTTGCTGGCCGGAGCAAGTGCAAGCTGACAAGCTATCACTTTACGGTCGCCGTCAGTCAGATGATGATCGCGCTATCCGTTCTCACCTTCTCCATCGCACTGGTGCGGACCTATTGGCGCAATCCGCTCGCAGCCGCTTTCCGACTAATTCTCTCGGTTGGGGCCTTTATCGGTGTCGGGTTGACCATCTTCAGGGAAGCCAACTATGCTCCGTATGATGCACTTGAGCATTCGAGCCAAGACAGCGCTATTCTTTTGCCAGTAGCATGTATGCTAGAAATGGACTTGCGATCAGCAGCAGAAGAGCAAGCGCGCCTGAACCAAGCCAATCTCGGCTTCGGTAACGCCACAGCCTGGCCACCAGAACGATTCATGTACATCGTCCTCGGCGTCGCTTTCCTCGCCGCCCACATCTCCGTTCCCATTCGTTTCGCCGAATCCAGAGACCGCGCACCGAAAGTCTGGACAGAGAAGCGGGCATTGGTTACCTTGATCTACTGGATCTTGGTGTTGCTCACACCCATCGTCACGTCGATGTTCTGCTGGTTCCGCGTGTACACAATGCGCGAGTGGGTGGCTGGTTCGGGGTGGATGGAGGATCCGAATACGGAGATGATAGTGTGGGATTCGGGACAGTTGATCGCTATGGGCGTGCTTATTACGGTTGTTATGAATGTGCTTACTGAGGCGATGGAGAGGGAGAAGAAAGACGCGAAGAAGAGGAGTGACGGAAGGGATGGAGAGGCGGGAGTGGAGTTGCTGCCGACCGCGTATCGTGGGTATGAGTATTAGGGTGCACGCGTTTAGACAATGGTAGAGTAGAGCAAGCGAATGTTAGCCGGAAATTGTGACTAGACGACCGATGGCGGAGGTCTCTCAGCATCGTGTCGGTTTTTGCGCGTTGTGAGAAGTAAGTGTCATCTGCGCGTGAATTGTGACATTGTGTTGGTGGTGGTGAAGAGTGAGCGCGTCGCGATTCCAAAGCGCGATGACGGCACCAGAGTGCACGGACTCTCGGAGGTTGCGGCGATGTCGACTACTGTATGGTTGTCTCCATTACCACGACCATCGCCGCCCGAGACACGCAGAACCCGGCCGAAGGCCTTACGTAGCTTGCGCCTTCTATATACGAATCACGACACCGAGTGCACCTCTTTCCCTACGGATGGGCACACCACCACATCGCCCCCAACTGATCGCTGCCTTGGCTGGTGCCGTGTGCTTTCACTATTACAGTTATACAGCGACATATTCACACCTAATCTAATACTTCCCCTGCAGACCGACCCACCACCGAGAGCGTCAGAACCTATCTAAACACATTTGCCCTACACATACACCGATTCGACGTCTCGCATTGGCCGCTTCAACGCCCCGCCACCATGTTCACGAGCTTCACCGGCAACACGCGAAAGGCGCGCCAAGTCAACCTCGGCGGCAAGAAGACGAATCCATTCGGCCCTCCCGGCTCCGGCGCCGGATCACAAGCCGCCCTCGACCGCGCACAGCAGGAGCGAGCCCAACGGCAGCGGGAACGAGACACGCTCAATGCGGCCAAGCGGATACAGAAAGTATGGCGGGGTCACTCGGCCAGGAGAGATGTGGCTGACGAGCTACGGGGCGCATGGGACCGCGTAGAAGAGGCGAATGGCTCTTCGAGTACGGCGACATATGACTCGGAGGAGGAGGCTCTTGCCCAACTACAACGGCTACTCCGATTCGCATCGTCACGAAGCGATGATGATCTGCGACGGATACAGCACTATGCATCGCGGCAGATGGAGACAGTCAAGAAGTTGGGCATCACATCAAGCGGGCCGTGGCCGTGGGCATACCTAAGGCTGGAGCGCATCCTACTCGTGGCCATAGAGCGGCAGCTTCAGAAGCACGCGCCCATGCAATGGAATCAGGTTGGGGCCTCTCTCACCGTCTTACAGTTCCTCGCAGACCAGATACCCGCCGAAACGTCCCAGAATGCCGAGCATTACTACCGCACCCTTGCACGCGTCGTGTCCACCTTCACCCCAACACTTGAAACGCAGAGCGAAGGATCGGAGATAAGTGAGACCATAGTCAGGGCAGCCCTGTCGCCGATGACGCGAGTGACTGGCTACACACTGGATGCTTATGAGGCTTTCGGTATACACTTCTTGACTCTCCCACTATTAGGCTCGGACTCAACATCACCTCCATTACAAAAGTTCCGCGACTCGCTCGCCGACGCCATCAACTACAAGCTGCTCGCAAATGCACTGGCGACACTTTCCAAGAGAGCAGGGCTGCAAAGCAAATCCGAGCTGAAGAACACATCAAGTAGACTGCGTTTACTAGGAAACTTTATCTATTTCCACCGCTACGCCCACAACTTCGACACTCCCGAAGCCTACGCGGTTCACAAGGACTTTGTAGCCGTCGTATCGGTTCTGTTGAACTCCCTGCCAATCAACATTGTAGATGACGATCATCCAATTGCCGAGCTTTCCGAAGACGACGGTGCCAATCAAGACGCCAGCGCCGTATCGAATTTCTTGAAAGAGCAAGTCCGCTCCCTGGTACATCAGGAAGGTGTTGGAAGTCTTTTGGCCGGATCATCACAGTCAGCGGAAGCTTCAGATGACGAGAAGGTCGAAGAAGCCCGGCAGCTTGCAAACTACGCGCTTGCATTACTTCGCTTCTTCCCTCGTCGCGGTGATGAGATACGAATGTGGCTCTACATCGGCCCATCAGAGGCGTCTGGAAAGAGCGCAAGGAAGCTTCCGGCGATCAAATACTTCTGGGAAGCATCAAAACGATCATCGGTCTTTACCACCATCTTCAGGGACTCGAGGGCAGCTATCGGACTCTTGAAGCCGAAATCTTCAAATCTGAACAACTCTGACCGCCCAGGGACGTCCGGGCTAACGCAGCATGGCTTTTGGCAGCCAGCACAACAGCAAGTTGATCGCGACGCAGTCACCACCGACGAATGGCGAGTTATCCTGGTCTTCCTTGAACTATATACCTTTGTACTCAAAGTCACCGACGACGAGGAGTTCTTCACTTCGGGGCAGAAAGACATCTACTCGGGCCAGATCCGCGACAGTGGTTTACCTCTAAGCGAGGTGAAGGATTTGACGACTTTCCTGAAGAATTTGGGCTTCACACTTTACTTCAACGCAGTGGACATTACAACCTCGGAAGAGGACATGGGAGGCAACAACAGAAGTCTTAGCTACTTCAATCCCGGAGTCATGGACAATCATTCCCAGAAAGAGCATGCTGAGCCATCAATAGGAGGTGTCGCAGGCTTGAGGATAGATTACGTGAAAGGTCTGGTCACTGGACTTCTTCGTATGGTATACGAGCGCGACTCGCGACGCAAGTTCCTGCCTTCGGACCACTGGCTCATGGTCTCGCGCTTCGACATGACAGGATTCATTCCGGCTGTAGTTGAGGAGGAAGAGTCGCGGCACAAGATCCAGGAGGAAGATGCGGAGGATCTAGATGACCTTGAAGAAGAGGAATTCGACGATACACCGCAACTCATCGGCACGAGTCGCACCCAGACACAACGGCGCTTGGAGAAGCTACAACGGCAGCAGCGCAAGGCTTCGCGGAGACGGTACCTGCAAGCCGTAGCACCTCGTCTCGAGATCTTGCAGAACATGCCGTTCTTCATACCCTTCACCACCCGCGTTCAGATCTTCCGCGAGTTTGTTAAACTAGATATGATCAAGCGACGAGGATCTGCGGATCCTGAGTTCTGGCGGTTTCGGACCATGCAGCAACCAAACGCTCGCAGCCAACTCGAGAAACATACGGCGCGGATCAGGAGAGAGAACGAGTTCGATGATGCTTTCGAGCAATTCTATGAACTGGGCCAGGGCTTGAAGGAACCAATCCAGATTACCTTCATGGATCAGTTCGGCGCTCCTGAGGCCGGCATCGACGGAGGTGGTGTCACGAAAGAGTTCCTCACCAGCGTCACCAACCGCGCGTTCATGCCGACTGAGTACATCGACATGTTTGTTGAGAACGACCAGCATCTCCTGTACCCCAACCCCGCAGCAGTTGAAGAGCACAAAGAGGCCCTCCGACAAGCTGGCATACGCGAAGGTTCTCAAGAGTACCGTGCTCAGATCACTGAGCTGCTTCAACGCTACGAATTCTTGGGACGCATCATCGGCAAATGTTTGTACGAAGGTATTCTGGTCGATGTAAACTTTGCACCGTTCTTCCTGCGCAAGTGGGCACTAACTGGTGGCACCGGCTCCGCACCCAACGAATCCGGCTACCGCCCCACCCTCAACGACCTCCGCGATCTAGATGAAGAGCTGTACCAAGGCCTGCACAAGCTCAAGACCTACCCCGGCGACGTCGAAGACTTCTCCCTCAACTTCACCGTCACCGACACAGTGGTCGTAGACCACACCACCTCACCCAAGAAGACCAAAGCCATAACTAAGGACCTCAAGCCCGACGGCTCCAACACCCCCGTCACCAACCAAAACCGCCTCGTCTACATCAGCTACATGGCGCGCCACCGACTGCAGAACCAACCCTACGCCCAAACCACCGCCTTCCTCCGCGGCCTCAGCACCATGATCCAACCCTCCTGGCTCTCCATGTTCAACCAATCCGAACTCCAGACCCTCATCTCCGGTACCCGCACATCCATCGACATCGAAGACCTGCGCCGCAACACCATCTACGGCGGCACGTACGTCATCGGCGACGACGGCCTCGAGCACCCCACCATCCAACTCCTCTGGAAGGTCATGAAGGAGATGACCGACGATGAGAGGCGTGCGGTGCTGAAGTTTGTGACGAGCACGCCGCGCGCCCCGCTTCTGGGCTTCGGTACGCTGAATCCGAGGTTTAGTATTAGGGATGCGGGGAGGGATCAGGATAGGCTGCCTAGTACGAGTACGTGTGTTAACTTGCTTAAGTTGCCGATGTATGAGGATGAGACTACGCTGAAGGAGAAGTTGCTGTATAGCGTTTTCTCCGGGGCTGGATTTGATCTGAGTTAGGGGGTTGTGAGGGTTGAGGGCGGGGGTAGTGGCTTCAGGGAGACATTGCGCTGTTGAGGTTGAGGATGTGGACGTTGATAGATTTGCATAGCATGGTATTATGGCGCTATTATGAAATAGACTTGCATGTTGCATGTACACCTTTTGACTACAACTTGATCGCCCCTGAACCTTGTGGTTATTAGCCATGTGCAGCAGTCTTTCTGCACATCGCCAGTGATGATTTTGTTCGCCACGGGGTTGTTTGTCTCAGATCATGATATGACTGCAGGGATATTAATAGTTGTGGGTTCAATAGCGTATGGTAGCTTGAGTTGAAGTGCATTGTCGCCGTTCCAAGATCCTGCGGCTAGTTACGTTCACTTTTAAAATCTTGTGTCCATTATTTGATTGGGGGGTTTCCGGCATCGTGTATGTCGTTCGTGTTGTGGGAGTCGTAAGTGGCTCGCTGCGTATCGTCTATAGGTCATCGTATGGGTTAGCGCAGTACGTAATTTGAATTCATCGAGTTGGGTGTTGCAAGCAACGATATATATATATGGGGATGAGTATGAGTGCAGGGCCCCCGCAGCCTGCTTGCGATTGGGTGAGTTAAATGGGTTATCGCAGTACTATGAGATGGGATGGAATGGGGTCAAGATTTTCTCACACAGATACGAGTCAAAGAAGAGAAAATAGAAACTTCGCTGTCGGCTAAGGACCTAGAGATCTCGTATAGTGCCTGGGCCACCGGGCGAACCGAATGATAGGTTGTAACTTAGGAAAAATAACGACATGAGTATTGTGAGGATTAACACGAACCCAGGCCACTTCCGACCTTCGCCGTTCTGCTTCCTCTGAGGCTTGTCGCTTTCCTCTTCCCATTCCGTTGCGAGTATAGTTAGAGCCTTGTCATACTTCGTGTTGAACTCGTCTAGATCTTGCTGGGTGCTATCGCTCTTTGCGCCGGATGAATTCACGGCTATGACTTCAGATTGGAGTTCTCGGAGCAAGCTTCGGACCTCCGGAGCAGTCACTTCGGGATCTAGGCGGAGCTCGCGATCATTGAGGAAGGCAAGACACAGATCCATGATATTGTTGGCGAAATCAGATCGAAATGCTGAGCTGCGCATGGCTGCCCGCAGCTGTATGGTGAAGTCCTCCCAGTAAGTACATGTATCGATGTGTGTAAACGCTTCGGCAGCCATATCAAGAATCTGGAGAATAGCGGTGACGGCATTCCTGGCTGATTCGTCCTTTTTCTCCAGATCTTCGAAGCAGTGGTATAGAAGTGAAATGGTCAGCGAAGTTCGTTGTTCGGTGGTGACGGACTTTCTCCATAAGACTTTGTCGGCAACATAAAGGTAGCATCCATATACCATAGCAAGGCTTAAGAAAGCAGGCTCCTCCTTGAAGGGATTGATTGGGCGTCCAATATGCATGTCGACGAACTGTTCGAATGTCATGTTCTCCGTGACATTTTCACGGGATTTCGCGCGCTCCTTGTATATCGCCGCCTTTGCCCAGTGTACCCTCATTGTCTTCTCCATTTCGTCTAATAACTCCGTATGGGAACGAAGGTTACATCCTTCCAGGAACCCGACAAACCTAAGTCCTTGCCGCATGTTCGCAAAAGAACGGTTAGTTTCTACTACAAGTGTACTTTCCGAAGGCAATACTTTCATCTCGAGAAGACTCGAAACGAGTAGAGTTTGGTCGATGTTGAAATGAGAGCCAGCTTGTGTCTTCAGTAGGTTCCATGTCTCATCGGAGCGGAAGAAGTCGATCGCAGTCTTGTGGTAGAACTCGACCCATTCATCAATAGAAGACGAGCCTCGTTCAACAACATTGTCTTGGCCTCTGACTTCAAGTAGACCCTTCGTATGCCCATCAATCCTTCTTTTCATCCATATGCATAGCGATCGTCGCTTGTTTGACGGCATGGTCCGCACCTCATCGGTGATAGCTTTTTCAACTGTCGCGTCGTCGTTGTCAGCCAGAGCCAGTTGAAGAAGGCTTATCGGCTCGGAATTTGCCACGTCCTTGCTTCTCAGCATTAGGAGGATCATTCGAGCCGTACCCGTTTGAGTTGCTGGATCTAGCGATCTGAACATGTGCTTGTACATTCCGTGAAGATCCGGCGGGAGCGCGTCGAGTTTGAGTTGCAACGTAGATGCCGTCTCACCATTTTGTAGCCCTCCTAGAATCGAACGAAGCGCTAATACTACCCAGAGAAAAACGCCGGCTGACATGTCGCACAGGCCGCGAACCAAGGTTGAGCGAAGCTCTGGATCCAACTCTTCCATTTCCCTTAAACCCCGAGAATGATTCAGCCTATCAGAGACAAACTTTATCATGTCTTGATACGTCAGGTCTTGTAGCCGAAGCTGAGGCATGTTTTCGAAGGCGTCATTGAACGCTACCAAGGGTCGGCTAGACAGCACCAGCTTCAAGTTGTCGTAAGAAGACAGTGTTTCGAGAATGCTAATAAGTTCACCGTGATCTCCAGCGTACTCGTCCAGTCCATCGATGAAAAGGCAAATTTTGAGGCCTTTGGAGTTTTCGACAAGCAAATTAAGAGCTTGAACAAGCTCTGGAAGCGTCCAAGTGAGATCCAACTTGCGTCCTGCAACGATCTCGGTGCAAATTTCGGGAAAGACGGAAGGTATGAGCCGTGGGCATTGCGCAAGTAGCGTGTACAGGAGGCCTCGTAATAGACCCTCGTGAGATGATTGCAGGGTATGACCAGCCGCCCAGAAGAAGAACCTGGCCTGCAGCAACGTAGAGCCATCTCTCCAAAACTCAAGGAGCTGAGTCGTCTCCAGGTTCGAGCAAATATACTTCATCAACGTAGACTTGCCGCTTCCAGCCTTTCCTGAAATCCAGTATAGACTGTTTCCACTACGGAGCCATTCCGCAAAATGTGACCAACGACGGGCTTCCTCGGGTGCTTCAAAGATCCATTCGTATGTGTCATGATGAGCTATCGCTGTATCGCTGAATCTGCTTTGTAGCCCACGATAATGTAGCGCGGCCAAAACTTTGGTCGAAAGCGGCGAGAATCGATCGTTGGAGACCGTTTTCACAGGTCCTGTGTTGGACTGATCTCTGAACGTGATTACACGCTCAATTGAGTTGCCAGGGACCGAATCTTCTTGGCCGGCAATTGCGAAGTTCTGGTCGGCGACTGAAAGTGTTGTGCCATCTTCAAGCCCCAGAATGACGCGGAGCACTTTTTCTCTCCTAGTATTTTGGCTCTTGTTTTCGGGATCCCCCGTAAGATCGCGAGGTGACGCCGATGATTCGGAAGAACTTTGTGTGAACGTCAAAATCTGCACAATGCGATTACTTGCCGTCTCCAGATTGTTAAGGCGCTGAGTTACTTCTGAAGAGTGTAGATCCGTCTTCGCGTTGAGCAGGGCGAGGAGGCGTAACGAGAGGTCCTGTTGATAGCCTTCAAGCCTGCTGACAAGCCCTTCGATTTGCTCTTTCTTCAAGATAGTCCGAAGCGCAAGGTGAAAGCTTCTCCATGCAGATCGCTTATTCACTTTTGGGATAAGGTCCTCCAGATATTCGATGATTTCCGTTCCAACTTCACAGCAGCCTTCGATAATGAGGTCCAGCGCCTTCAACAGTTAGCACCTTATCTGTCCATGCAATAACACAAGCTGGGTCTCTGATGTACCTCATATTCATCCTTGAGTGAGTCCTTACGACCGCTGATTGGTGCACGCAAGCCATTGACCCACGATTTGAGTTCCTGCGCTCGGTTCTCGATCTCTGAAACGCCGACAGTGGTACCTTCCTGGTAGATTTCGTGGCCAAGGAGTACGACTTTGACAGTAAAGTCAATGAATGTGACAACAGAAGTCGCGATGGAGAGTGCGCTGATGGGATCCATCGCATGACTAGAATCGATAACGAGTGAAGAGATTAGCAAATTCGCGCAAGGCCTGAGCCAGTCTTTATCTGAGCATTTCCACTCGGAACTAGGAACGAGCACTTGCATCGCGACTAATGCCATGCAGCCAGGCTGAGGTGTGCATGGTGGAGATTCCAGGCCCCGATGGAAGTTGTATTGTGTTTCGTGGTTGACCTATCAGATACTACCTACGGCGATGGCGGCTGAGGTGGCGGGGTCGAGGCTGCCTAGGTACAGCCGAAGGCTGAACAGCATGCACATTGCGTCGGCGTGAGCATGTCTGCGGCGCACTTAGTATCGGCTAGCTCAGTAAGAGATTCATGGAAGCTGGAAGTATTTGACGCCGACAGTGGGCGATCTGGAGGTTGAGAAGGGCTGTCGAAGCGAAGGCGCAGCCTGCGCACGCGACGCGGCTGCTGTTGCCCACCCCTGAAGGAGCTAGTCTTTATTGGGTTGTAGGCTACCACCAAAACATGGACAGACCAGTTGACTCTACAACACAATATAAACGAGCTTGTGGGCTCGCGCTCGAATATGAAGTCTGTTCGCGAGGGACTTTAGTTGTGCGCGTTGGTGGATTGGTAAAGTCGATAACGGCGGTTTGCCAGGGCTCATTCGTAAGGGCCCCGGAGTATTGGACTCCCAATGAACCCTAATGGCCACCCAGCTAGGCATGAGGCGCGATATTTTCAAACTAACACGATAGACTGCTCGCGGATTGTGCTATCTCGAACCGCTTCCCCGTGCATATATCCGTCAAAATAGCAGTCGCCAATGAACTCGTAACAGCCTTCAGGCGGCTTGTCCGACTGGCGGTCACCACTGGAGTCAATATCGCCATCGCTCTGGAATCCATCCGTATCTACGGGCTTGAGTGCTTCTCTTTCTTCTTTGTTCAAATGCGCAGGCCGCAGGATGAACGGTACGTTTCCACCGTCTAGAACCCATACCTCGTCTTCAACACGAACGTGCGGATAGCAGAGGCCCTGGCCGTTGTTTTCGGTCTTGAAGTAGCGACGGCCATGTGTTATGACGGAGATCATATGGCATAGTGTGGCATCAATCGTACACTCTTCTCCTTCCACCCATACAAGAAAGTGTTCGAGCCAACGCATCGTTGCAGGACTGAATTTGAGATCCCACGCGTGGCCTTCTGTGCCGACTGGAATATCCAATCCTCCAAGCAGGGTTCGCCAAAATGCCATGGTGGTATTTGGCTCCCTATGGAGATTGGTCTGCAGACTAATGTAAGCTAACGTATCAAAGGTACTTGAGCCGAGCGCGGATAACATCCATCTCTTGAAGACATCTTTATGTCTGCGGGCAGCCTGATCTGTCAAGGATATTATGGTCTGTATGTCTTCGGATACAAAGTTAACTTTGCCTACACGCCTGCCTATGACCCCAAGCCCAACGCGTCCTGCCACTTGACCCGACAATCGCGGGGAAGCTTTCAGCAAGACAGCGCTCGATCTGTGGTTGTCGGAAGCATTGAAGACGCCATTATCAAAGAGCTTGTACCGATCGAATATTACATCGACGTCCATGCGATCGTAAGGCGCATCAAAGTCCCGCACCCAGGACGCCAATTTGTACGGCGCTGGGCCGTATTGAGGGCCTGTCAGACTCTTGAGGAACCCCCGTTCGCGGCGAAGCATTTTGTAAGTAGCCTGGAAAAAGACCTCCTCTTTGGACAAGGCGTAATCAGGGGTGAAGAACCGGTCATCAACGACCCCTAGCAGGCCGTAAACTTTGTCGCGCGGATCTTGACACGCCCGAAACCCATACACTACGTGTTGTGTCTGTAGGTCGTATTGCTTGAGATCGCCTCCCTCATCGCGTTTTCGATCGTAATAAAGGTTCCGGGTTATGGTGCAAAAGTCTTTTAGAGCAATAGCCATTGTAAGAGGCATTTGCGAAACGGCATAATTGCAACATGACTTCCAGGCATGTTGGTCGTAGTACAACCCGCATTCGGTGATCATCTGAAGCGATGCCGTCCATGTGTCAAAGTACAAGGTACCAGTCTTTGGTAGGATGGCTTCTTGTACGGTCCATACGCGTGTCCACCAAGGACTTCGGTAGATAGCGAGAAAGCCTTCGCACATCATGTTGAAGTCTGCGTCGGGCGTGTAGACAATCCGATAGGGACTATCGGGTGGGAAGCAGGACCATCCAGAGACATGGCGACCACTTGCCAGCAACCGTATGATTCCAAACGGATCCGCTCCTCTCAAGTCCTCATTTGCTCCATGGCCAAGGCGGCATTGCGAAGCATCGCAGCCCAGCCAAATTCGTACCTGGGCGCATCCGGAATATATCTTGCCCATAAGGGCCACTTGATGCGACCTCTCCGTCGTATCTGACTGGTTGATGCAAACAGCGTCTACCCACAACGGAAGATCGTTCTCTGGGTCGCGCATGTGCCGGAGCGCCTGCTCGAGGTTGGAGGTAACTTTGACCGCGACGCCATCGACCTCGATCAGCTTGGTGGCGTTGGGGTCGCCCCAGGTATATGACAGAGCGTCATAATGCGGCTTCTCGTAGAAGCTGACTGGCCGCAAGCTACACCGGATAGGCTCCCACGCGTTGCCAGCGTGCAGGCTGAGAATACGCAGGTACTCGCTCGCATGCGGTAAAGCTTCGTAATCAAGGTGGGCGTGGATTGGCTTGGCTTTGTTGGCGTGCACACCCATCGTGGGTGGTTGTTGTCTCAAGCCTCATCAAAATGGCAGCTTGGAGGGATGCAGCTTACCGAGTGCTTCCTTCCGGCGACATCCTGCGTGCCTGCCAGATTGAGACGGAATGGCGAAGCGAGTCAAACCTGAGCCCCCAAAATATCTGGGTCACTTCAGCTTCAAAGAAACCTTATTCCCTCACCCTTTGCTTAATCTCACTCTACCCTGAAAAGTAAACGTCGAGATGCACGCACAAGCTTCCTCTTCCCCAATCTTATCAAACCCCTCGCAGTCGCGATGCCGATCCCATTGTACCCCGCCTCGCCTAACACGTCTGTTGTTCCAAAAGCAGTATCTTTCCCAGTGCGCACGCATCAGCCGACTCCCGTACCCCAGCGACAACAATGCGCAAGGCTAGTTCCCACGATACAGTTCACCCACCTGCAGGCCAAATGTGGCGGCCGACTAGCTTAATAAGACGGCAAGTCCGTCCCGCACCACCCGGCAAGCGTACCCCTTGCCTCATCAGGTCGCGACTGTTTAGCCCACGCCAATAGACCGTGCGACAACCTTGGGAGGAGGCGCCCGGCTTTGACATGTGCGACTGCGACGCGGAACCGATAAGAACAACATCAACAACTACATCGACTTAAGGCGCGCATCTGGGACGTTGGGCATCCGGACATTCCGACTCATCTTTCCGCGCGATTTGGAGCGTTATCGTTAGCCCAGCCCATATTCATCAAGAGACGGACACCTTTTGTGCGCTGCGCGCCGTCCATGGACTGAAGCCGTCCGCAATACCCACAATGGCCGACTTATCGCACACCCGAACGAACGACGAGATGCTTAAGAACGCCGCGCATCTTTCCGAAGACGTCCCACCCGAAGACGACGAAGTAAGCGGGTCCTCTAACATGAGAATAGTCGACTTTGGAAGAGATGGTACCGCCGATCCCGAGAATGGAGTGGTGAATGAAGCACATCAGCAACAGCCGCCAAGGCGCAAGAAGAGGAGGTTTGGACTGGGAAAGAAGAAAGAGAGTTATAGCCATACGCATTACAAGGTTTACAAGAGACGGTGGCTTGGGCTGGGCCAGTTGGTGCTGTTGAACATTGTTGTTAGTTGGGATGTAAGTTGACACCTGACACCGTCGCCCGTTCCGTTGTTTGCTTCTGCGGGTGTTGCGAAAGGGTCTTCCGTTCCGAACTTTGAGCATTGCCCTGCGTTGTCGATCAGTGGTGTTGGGACAACATCGCATGAACTCCATTCTTGAGCAACAAGAAACTTCGAAGCACAACTGTAACTAACATAACAACCTAGTGGCTGACATTCGCCCCCATATCAACAACCTCATCGCAATACTTCAAAGTCCCGGAATCCTCCATCAACTGGCTTTCAACCGCCTTCCTCTTCTCCTTCGCCGCAACATGTCCTTTAACGATTTACCTGCTCCACCGCGGCCCCAAACCATCCATCATCGCCGCATCCATCTTGCTGCTCATTGGCAACTGGATCCGATATGCGGGTACCAAGACCAACATCTTCCCTGTAGTCATGGTGGGCCAGATCTTGACGGGGCTAGCGCAGCCGTTTGTGCTCGCGGCGCCGACCCGGTATAGTGATATGTGGTTTACTGAGGGCGGAAGGATTGGAGCGACGGCGGTGGCTAGTTTGGCGAATCCCTTTGGAGCGGCGGTGAGTACCGACGCGGCAAGAAGAGAGGAAACGATGGCTAACAAGACATAGCTTGCATCTCTTATTAACCCTTTCTTGGGCGACGTACCGACTACGGTATTGATAGTATCAATCATCACGACCGTAGCATGCCTCCCGGTACGTCTTCCCATATCCTACCGTTAGCCTACACCACACATCTAACTAACATCACACAGTCCTTCTTCATCCCCGCGGCACCACCAACACCCCCGTCTGCTTCTTCTGTCATCTCCAAAACGTCAATCATGACCTCCCTCAAGCACATGCTACGTACCCCCTCCTTCTACCTCGTCTTCTTCACATTCAGCGTGTACACCGGCTTCTTCAACGCCTTCACCTCGCTGCTGAACCAGATCCTGTATCCATACGGCTACACCGAAGACGAAGCGGGTATCTGTGGCGCGGTGCTCATCGTTGTCGGACTGGTAGCCTGTGCCATCACTTCTCCCATCATAGACCGCACACACGCCTACCTGCTCGGTATCAAGATCCTATGCCCTGTGCTATCCGCAGCTTATCTAGCGATGATCTGGGCGCCGCAGACGCGTACGATTGTCGCGCCGTACGTACTCGGTGCAGTCTTAGGCGCATGTTCATTTTCCCTGCTTCCGATCGCGCTGGAGTACCTAGTCGAGATCACTTTCCCAGCTAGTCCAGAAGTCTCTTCGACAATCTGCTGGGTCGGAGGACAGGTCTTCGGCGGCATCTTCATCGTCATCATGAACGAGCTCAAAGACGGAAGACCTGTGGATCTGGACGCCGTACAAGACGCAGGCAGGGATGAAGCTACGGGTGGAAATAGACCACCTGGACATATGCTTTGGGCGCTAGTCTTCCAGGCTGTGGTTTGCGCGGTGGTTCTGCCACTGCCGCTGATGTTGGGTGTGAAGCGGTTGGGCCTCGCTAGTAGAGAGGGAAGGCTGAAGAAGGATGTCGATGGCGATAGCGTTGTTGTCGCGGAAGAGGGGTCTGGTGAAGACGTCCAAGGACACGAGCAATGACTCCTTGGGGACATGGATTCTGGTGACGATTACGAGGATGACGATGACGACGACTAGGGTTTCTTTGTAGGCTGGGTGTTCTTACCTTGTCTTTTGGGGTTATCATGGGAGGGGAACTGGTTTCCTTGGTTCGTCTTTTTCATTATTAGCGTAAACGGGATTCATGTCCGCGTATTATCAATCAAGACGATGCTTTGCGTCATTCATGATATTGTTTGTGCAATGTCTTGAATTGGATCGGGAAGATAGAAGTACAGTGATATTCTAAACACGACTCTAATATGTACAGTCATCCACGCATTTTGACATGTCTTGATGCTTGCATTCATTCCATTCCGAAAGGGCTACGTTCCTACAATACGTCGTGTACCAATGTTGTATTGGTATTCGCTCGTAGGAGGACGAGGATCGGCGGGGGTCGGGTCTGTTTACTTGAGCTGGGCGAAGAGCTTGGGGGCGGCGCATTGGGACGCGCAGTGGGCGAGGTGGAAAACTGTAGGCGGGTTAGATATGGTTGTCATAGTGACAGGTGGGCTGACGTACATTCTTCAACGCAGTCCTCGCTGGCCTTGCCGTCGTTCTCGATCTGGCCTGTTACCCGTTGGGCGCACTCGTCGTAGTGGTGCTTGGGGCCGTGGCATTCCTTGGACTCGGCGCATTCTGCATGGAATGGTTAGTTACGGTTCCGTCTGCAGTGGCGCTGCGTGTCTGATGTCGGGCTATGTCGGATACGGTGGGCTTCTTATCGACACGTCCGACCAAAGCCGAAGCCTCCCCAGACACGCAATTGATCTCTCAAGGCCGCTGGATTGCCATATTCGTAGTCCGGGATAACTCACCCTGCTCAAGCTTCTCCTTTGGGTCGGGCTCCTCCTCGTCCTCTTCCTCCTCCTCAGGCTCATCCTCGTCATCGCCGCTCGGCTTGTGTCCCTGCTCGCCCGAGTCGCCGCCCTTCTTCGCATCCTGCTTGTTGACCTCGGCCTCGTCGCCGCTCTCCTCGTCGGTGCCGGACGCAGGCGTCTGGGTGCTGGTGCCACCTTGGACGGGCGGTTGGCCCTCGGCGTCGGCCGAGGGGTGGGAGAAGGTCTCCCAGACGTCGGAGAAGAAGTCGGTGATACCCATTGTGGTGGCTCCGGGGCAATTGGGGGTCCTCGAGTTGGGGTGCGGGTGGTAGCGGAGGTGTTGGGCGATGGGGAACGAGAGCTGCGAGAGGTGTCATGCCGGGATCGCGAAAATGGGCGGTGCACGGGCCAGCGAAATGGTTAGCGGCGTCATGTAATTCTGAGCGATCTCAGTGGTCTCTTCACTTTGCGATCACATTCGCCTTGTCTTCCTTCAACAATGTGGTTTTATTTTGTAGAGGAGATTTGACTAGTTTCTATGTCTCTTGAACGCCTCCTCCACGCTAATTCCGCGGCCCACGTCCGCAATCACCTTCTCGTCCGCCTCGATCAGCTTCGGTAGTAGATCGAGCAGTTCGTCTACTTTGCCCTGTGGCACCGCGACCACGCCATTCTCGAAAGGGTCAATCATGATGATGTCGCCGGCTTCGACCACCGTCTCGCCGATCTTCACGGGCACGTTGTGTGCATGAAACTTGGTCTCGGCTCCCGCGCCGATGACAGACGTCGCCTTTGACCAGATGGGCAGCTGCGTCTGATTCAGCGCAGTGATGTCCCGCACGCGACCGTCGACCACAATACCCTCTGCGCCGAGATGCTGCATGCGAGCCGCCATGATACCGCCAACGACTGCGCACGACTGCCCTGGAGGCTGGCTGATGACTACAACCGTGCCGCTCTCAGTGTAGTCTGCGTACGGTCTGGAGTCTGCGAGATTGGAAGCCGGCATGCTATCCGCCATCTTGGGAGGGTTTGGGAAAGACTTGGTCGCTTTTGGGATCATGAGGAAGGTCGCTGCGGGCGCGAGGACCTTTTTAAGCTCAGGGTTGGGAATGCTGGATGTATGAAGCAGCGGCCCTGACAAGGTTAATAAGTGACGTGATGCCATGTACTCCGCTGATCGTACTGATATCAGCGAGGAAGCCCGCGCCTGGTACGTGTAGCTTCAGTAGCCCATCAGCGAGCTAGGAGAGATTAGTCATGTATCTAGGGACGGAGAAGGTAAGCGCACGTCGCATGCTGCGTATTCGTACAGTTTCTTCCATCTAGGTGATGCCATTGTTGTGATTGTGTGATGTTGAAAGCGAGGCAATGTATATGATCTAGACAAGCATCGCGACAAGCTATGAGGCTCTTTACCCCGCCAGCCGAGGTGCGCCGCGACTCTGGGAACTATGTCTTCTCCAACATGGAACTAAACGACCCTGAGTGCCGCATCCGTGACTTCAGATGTAAACTTCAGAGTCAATCGGACAATCGAGATTGGTCGGTCGCACTTGGTGCCTCTACGTCATCGGCCAATCGCATCAAGCCCTGGGGCGCGTCGCGGAAGTAGACGCCGCTGTAGCATGCTGCACGTGAATAGACGCGAGAACACGAGTACATGATGTCCTACAAGCCGACTGTGTGATGAGCCGTGGCGGTGAATATGAGCCAGATGGTGGCGCAAGGTCGAGTTCCGCCGTATCGCCAAGACACAACATATGCAAGGGTCTCGGAACGACGACGCATCTAAGCACTGCCCATTCTGCCACTTTCCATAGACGTGACGACTAGCTTTCCGTGGCCTCTCGCCGCCACGCCCAATCCACCGCCCACGCGCGCCTATTCCTTTTCTTTCATCGGGTACTAGACATAGTTCTTGCGGCCTCTGCGCTGCGCATTCTTCACCATGGCCCTCCACGCGGCCGGCGCTGCCCAGGTGCGTTTTGCCACGAGTTCCGACATCGCGTCATTGAACCCCTACTGACTTTGATATAGAAGGTCGCTTCTGTCACGTCGCAACTGTCGCCCACCATGTCTACCGCCCTGCGCTCCCCGTGGCACGCCCTGGGCCGCATGCCCACGGCTGCCGGCGTCAGGCAGCTCACCACCGCATCTTCGTCTTCATGTTCAGGTAAGTCGCAGTGAGGCACAGTCAGGGCACAACACTGACACTCTGCAGTACCGCGCGTCGGACTATGCAATCCCCTCGCCACGACATCGCCCGTCGCTGCCCTCAGGGCACGCCAGTTCTCTTCCATGTCGCGCAACGGCCCTCTCTCGCACCTCCGCCAGCTGACCAAGCCCGGCATGCTCGGACTCAGCCTCGTACAACAGCGCTCGCTCTTCGGTGGCCCCTCTCAGGAACAACTCGCTCGCCTCGAACAGGCTGCTAATGCCAGCCCTACGAGTGCCTCCGCTCAGGCTTCCTTCTACTCGGCTCTGCTGCGCGGCAACTACCACCAAATCATCATCGACCGGTACAACACAGGACGCTTCGCCACCAACTCTACAATTGACAAGATGTACAACAACGCCTTGGCAAAGACGGGACAGGACGGCGGCGAACACTCGGGGCTCACTGCGAACCAACGTCAGGCGATTACCCAGGCCATCGGCGCAAACGCTGGCGGTGCTCAGGTCGCCAAGACCAGGGGCGGCGCTGGCGTCAAGGCCGACCCTGTCTACGTCGTCGTCGAAGAGTCTCTGATGAATGTCATCTTCAAGTGGGTCCGCTGGATCTGCGGCTTCGCTTTGGCTGCCTACGTCTCCCTGATCCTCATCACTCTCTTCGTCGAGACCAGCGGCGTCCTCAAGAAGGGCGTTGGCGGTAAAGAGAACGCCGAAGTCCGCCCCGAGCAGCAAAATACCCGCTTCAGCGATGTTCACGGTTGCGACGAGGCCAAGGAAGAACTCACCGATGTCGTTGACTTTCTCAAGAACCCAGACAAGTACAACAAGCTCGGCGGCAGACTCCCCAAGGGTGTGCTCCTTGTTGGCCCTCCTGGTACTGGTAAAACTCTGCTTGCTCGTGCTTGCGCAGGAGAGGCCGGCGTTCCCTTCTTCTACATGTCCGGTTCCGAATTCGACGAAGTCTACGTTGGTGTCGGAGCCAAGCGTGTCCGCGAACTCTTCACTGCTGCTCGGGGCAAGGCGCCTGCCATTGTCTTCATCGACGAACTTGATGCCATAGGCGGAAAGCGCAGGTCGCGCGACGCCAGCTACCACCGCCAGACCCTCAACCAGCTTCTCAACGATCTTGACGGTTTCGACCAAAGCAGTGGTGTCATCTTCATTGCTGCCACCAACCACCCCGAGTCTCTCGACGAAGCCCTGCTTCGCCCCGGACGCTTCGATCGTCATGTCCAGGTTGAACTTCCTGATGTAGGTGGCCGACTGGCTATCCTCAAGTACCACACTCAGAAGATCCGGCTCTCTCCTGATATCGACCTTTCTACCATCGCCCGTGGCACACCTGGATTCTCTGGTGCCGAGCTAGAGAACGTCGCCAACTCTGCAGCTATTCGTGCGTCTAAGATTCAGGCAAAGTTCGTCTCTCTCGACGACTTGGAGTGGGCCAAGGACAAGATCAGTATGGGCGCAGAAAGGAAGAGCCGCTCCGTACCGCTCAAGGACAAGATTCACACCGCCTACCACGAGGGTGGCCATGCGCTCGTCGGTCTCTACAAGCCTGGCTTCAACGATCTGCACAAGGCGACTATTCTTCCCAGAGGTCACGCTGCCGGTATCACCTTTTTCCTTCCAGAAGAAGAGGGCCACCACACTCGCAAACAATACATACGCCAACTGCAGGTCTCTCTGGGCGGCAAAATTGCCGAAGAGCTTGTATATGGTGAGGAGAATGTATCCACCGGAGCTTCCAGCGACATTTCCAACGCAACGAGGATAGCGTACATGATGGTGACTCAGTGCGGTTTCTCAGAGAAGCTCGGCAACGTCGACTACAAATCTAATTACGAGATGGTCGCACCCGAGACCAAGCGAATCATCGACGACGAGGTGCGAAAGCTGATTGATGAAGCAAGAAAGGATGCGAAGGAGCTGCTGCTGTCGAAGCGCAAGGAGCTCGACAGATTGGCCGATGCGCTTGTGCAGTACGAGACGCTGGACAAGAAGGAGATCATGAAGGTCATCAAGGGCGAGGACCTTCCTGGTCGGCTGAAGGCCTTGCCTGATGCGCCGATCAAGATTCCAGATAACCCACTCCCCACGGCGATAAGACCAAGGGGTGATGGTGGCGACGACCCAGAACCTCCCGCACCGATACCCGCGTAGTCAGCGGACGGGAATGATGGATGTGCATAAAAGCACGTTATCTATGAGGTGAATGGCGTTCGTTCGACCTGTTCCCTCTCGTTGGAGGGTTTCGCTTCATTGTTTTTGTACTATATCAAGCATCAATCGTATTATACAAACGAACAGCATGACATGATAGTGGTGGAAAAGGATGTGTGGGTGATGAGCTGGAAGATGACGGAAGAAGGAAAAATTACTAAGGTAGGGAGCTAAAGAATAGCTAGGCTGATTGATCGTAATGGGGAAAATATCGTGTAGTAACGGATAAACAACCATATGTTTAGGGTTTTGTTGACTCATTGCTACTACCTACTACACCGTATGTGGAGAGGCTGACGTGCGGAGGGCTATCAGAGGAGCAATCGCGCGTTCGCGCAGGGTATTTGAAGGGTGATGTCAAATGTGAACAAAGATGAAGATGAGAGATTTGCGGAGTGGGCAATGAACTGGCAGATATGTGGCACGTGCGGCTGCGGGGGTCCGAGGTGTATGGCAACCGTGATTGGTTTCAAGGGCTCATTAACTTCTAACAACGAACATTTCAGCCAAACTCAACGGGACGAATCATCATGCTATCATTGCTCGAGTACTGCTAATATCGAAGACATCTAATGAAACCCCCACTGCTACTTTCTCGTTCCATTCCGCCTAAATGCTCTTCTTGTAAAGCGAAATGGCTAATCCACCTCCACAATAGCTGTTGGTGTTACCTTTACAACGAGTGGTACATGTATTTCTCGCAGGAGCACTCCATCTCAATATGTCTCCACAGAAGCACTCTCTTCCATCCTCGACACCATAATAGAGGGAGCTCTTGCAGATTGCCTCGCATTTCGGCCTCGTCATCGCATCGTCAGTTACAATAAGATCACCTAGCAATCGAGTGCTGACGATATCCTGGTAACAGCCAACGTACGTAAAGGGCTTTTGATTCCATTCCTTGATACAGGAGGTGTGGTTGTTGCGGGCAACGTCGACGTCTTGCTTGGCGGCATCCAAAAGTTTCTCGAGTTCGGTCTGGCGTGCGATGTGGGTCTGTTCTTGAGCATCGCATTGATTCTTGAGGTTTTCCAGCCTGGTCGCGTGGGCGCTTTCTTCGTCGTCGAGGTTCGTCTTCAATTGGTCTGCCAACGCCGTTTGCGCAACCAAGGAGTCTTTGCAATTATTCTCGCGCTGGAGACATTGTTCTTTGTCTGCCTGGCAAGTATCCGGGGAAGGCTGCAATCCGCCCGTGAAGTTCGCAGGCAGAGTGTGATTGAAGGTGAGTTTGTTAGAGCAGGAGCAGAAGCAGCTAGCCGGTGGTGAAGGGTCCACGCATTGGATAGATGGCTTCACACCTAGTCTTGAGTGAGCTTCGCAAGGTGCTTCGAGATTTAGGTTTGCTTACCATTGTCGCACTGGTACGAGTTTCCGAAGAGGTCGAGTGAGCCAAGCACGTGCTGCGTGCCCTGGGCATAGCTAACCGTGCATAGAGTGCCGGCAAGCAAAACACTGAAACTTCTCATGGTGGTTGGAATAGGTGAGTTTTGAAGGACTTGAGGAGGTATGAGTGAGATATCAGCTTTAGTCGTTTCTATAGCTGCATCTTATACCATTTTGTCGAGTGACTGTTTCCTTTGGTTCTGCGTCATCGCGGTACCATTTTCCAGAACGGGTTTGGGTCTTTCTTTCGGTTTTGCGTCATCGCAGTACCATTTTCCAGATCAAGTTATTCCTTAATAGCGTGGGATTTGTTTATCTGAACCATTCTGTATGCACATGAAGCTAGATTACTCTTGCGAGGTAAGTTTGGAACACTTGCTTTTAGGTGCTTAAGTTCGAAGATCTTGCACGAAGTAGTCGGCCTTCCCAGATTTACCAGCCTCAACAAGTATTTGTTTTGAAAAAACAGCGTACCAGCCCGACTAACAGCGACTCTTGCGCGATACTTCCATTACAATTGCATCGGGGATGAGGGGGTCCGAGAGAGAGGACGAAAGGTCTTAAGAAGAAGACTTTCCATACAAAGTTAACTACAACAACAGCTCTTTTCTGAGTCCAACACCCTTTTGCTACTTACAATCATACTATCATCCAACAAAATGCGTACCTCCGCCTCTCTCATTACTTTGCTTTGTGGCATCGCAGGCGCACAATTCGCTTCGGACGTGTTTTCAGGCATGCCAGTCACTTGCGAGAATGGTAAGCAATTCTCGTTCTGTAATGACATCCGTTACTGACAGAAGCTTAAGGCCAGGTACCCGCCCTCACATGCTCGGATCCTGTTCCAGAATTGTGTGACTGCAAATGCAGTGACGGATATGTTTTCAACCGAACTCGTCCCGACCCGCCGACTGTTGTTGTTCCAGAGCCGGTTTCACAACAACTTGCAGAGAAACCTTGTCTGAGCGATGTCTTAGTAAACTGGACGAAGATTGAATTGCCCCACGCGAAGGGCACATACGAGCCCTCGGAAATGTACGATGAAGATGTCGAAGTACCAGAAGAAAGCATATTCGTAGTTGCCGATTCTGCCGACAGGTGCCAGCACTTTGAGGTGTTTGTCGACGGGGAAAAGGTTGGTGTTACAAACGGCGACGGACCCCTCGATGCCTCCCGCTGCGGGGGCCCCGAGGAATGTATAACAGAGAATGGAGGCAGTAAGGGTTATTTCACCCTACAGAAAGGTTAGTGAACGTGAGATTAACAACGGGTAGGTTCCCCAGGCTAACATTCCGCGCAGGATCGCACAGGATTGGTCTTCGGTGGATCGGGGTCACAGACGCGTGCAAACATATTCCTGTCGGAAGAGGCTCCTACCAGATCTACAAGAAATGCTAGTCCACCTTTTTTGGATGTCAAGAAGGTAGCACGACAACTTGAATTTGGAATGTATCCGTATAATAGGTCTTGTAATGTAACAGGCTGAACTATATATCTATTAGAGTTTCTCTCTGCCTACCTAGGAACTTTTATGAACACGTTTGACACATCTACGGGTGGTGCGGAAGAGGCAGCCTTAGGAGATGATACGATTGAAATGCGATAATAAGAGTAGTAGAACAGTCGGGTCAAGGCCGTCTATGAGTCCTTTTCGCATGGAAGTGTGGTCTTATTACTAAATCACCTCCGCTTCCACAACTCGCCATTCATCTTTAACCATCACGCATTTTGTTACTGCGCGCGATAGTGTTCCTCCAAGTGTGGCCGCCTCCTCTCCTCATCCGCCTCCTGATCCCCCATCAACGACTCATCCGCATCCCCACAATCCATAACGCGTCGGCGCGCCTCCCTTGATATAGCCTCGTTCTCCTCTCGAACGCGACGCCACTCCTCTTCTGCTCGTGCCTTGATAAGGTCTTGGACGTAAATCGTCGCGTCGGTGAGCTTGGTGATGATGAAGTTGGCGATTGCTCGCGGTGAGCCGGGGCCGTTGCTGTCTATGGGGTGTTAGAAAGTGGGTGTTGTAGGGTGTGTGGGTGGGGTTGAGTGGTTCAAAGAGTAAGCTTCTGGAGAGTGAGGCTTTGGAGAGCTGTATTGAGAGCTTGAAGCAATGGGGACATGCCGTGGAGTTATGGTGGCTGCTTTTGTTGCTGCGAGAGTGCGTAGAGCGAGGTGAATTATCACTTTATCTGCTTTCTATGGTAGATGGTGGACCCTTAACCGCCTTCTACGACGATAGGCCTCACTAGCAAGGGTAACAACCGCATTCACTGTCGCCCTGATTTTGAATGCCATTGTTAACTTACCTTCAAGAGCGCCGTCGCTGATGTGACTGTCGCTTTCACCTAGGGCGTCAGCACTGTAGATTGATCAGTGCAGCAGCGACGTATGGAATCGTGACACTTTTGTCGCGCGCTCATCAACTCTTCGCATGAACACCTGCACGATGTTGCTTGTATTTGTTACTGGTCATGACATCGAGGTATCGAAGAGCGTGGCGATTGCTGGTCTTGGACCGACGCGCCTTCACGCTGTGTCGGCGAGTCCGCAGCCAACGTAGACCTGACACTATGGGGAGTTAATACTGTGACGGGTCATCGGTAATGCGCTACAATGTAGATGAGGAAGTGTTGCGCAATAAAACAGCGCTTTGTTCAATCTTGTGTGTCCAGCTGTGACGCGCATGCGGGCGCCGTCTACTGCAGGGTTTGACCTGTGCCTTCCTCCATTCTTCACCACATCACCATTCGAGAGTGCATTGAGACATTGAGTAGCTTCATTCACCTAGCTGTCGGCATTAGCCGCGACTACGCTTGCAACCCCTACGAATCATACGCCAAGTATGACCATGCTGTCTCAAGACATCTAGTCAGCATGGATTTGCACATCGCAGCTTTGAGCGGCGCGTTCGACAGCCTCAGCGAGTACCGCAACCATCATCATGCCCAACTGAGCAAGTAGCTGCTCGCCCATCCCTGTAGCCACACTGACAACGAAGCACACAGGCGCCAGCAGCACGTCGCGCTCGACTTTCTCAGTCCAGCACAGTTGACGCAACAGAGCGGCGTAGACCCCCATAAAGATCGCCGATTTCCAGAGAGCAAGAAGCAGAGTCTTCGGCCCTAGAAGAGATGCGCTGAGGAAGGTAATCGCGTACATGGCCGTGACACCGAACTGAATGTCCCGTTCTAGTTGCGCATTCGAGATCTCGAAGGGACCGATGGTGAGGCGCTCCGGGAAGTCGCCGATCTTTCCTTCGTCCACAGTCAACCGCTTAGAGATATTCGTTTTGGCGAGGCCGGCCGCGTCGATCTTGAGGATGAGGTTCAGCGGGCCTATGTTGTTGACCGTAGCATCGGCGTCGTCTTGACGCTCCCGGTTGTGCTCGGCCAGCGCTTCGGCGATCTTGCTGGCGACATACTCGCGGATGCCTTGACTTAGCGAACTGTCGTCGTCGAAGGTGTTCGACGCGAAAGACTTGCGGAGGCTGGGCTCGTCTTCATTCAAAAGCGTGGAGTAAACGTGCTCGTCGGCGGTCTCGATGGGACGTGCGGTTTGTGGCGATATACGAGCACTCTTGAGGAAGTCATTTGTGCGCTTGATGCTGGTGGTTTTGTACCGCACCAGGTTGGGGTCTTCGACGGGGCCGCCGTGCTGGGGATAATTGGGGCTGTCTGCAGGCTTGTTAGTGAGTGCGTTGACATTGTGACCAGCTTGACGTACCAGGTAGTATCTGATGCTCCGTGGAGTCCACGAAACTTGCACCGCAAACGCGGCTACTGTTCTCGTCTGTCACAATGTTAGCATGCTGTAAAGAAGCGCCCTGAGTAGACCCTTACTGTTCACGGCCTCTGCGATCTTGTGGGAAGAACCCAATGGCAACCCACTTCGTTTGTCTGCATCGCCAGCTGCGCGTGGAGAGATATCCTGGCTTTTGCAGTTCGTCCCGCGGCCGGCATCGCGTATCGGAGTCTTGTCGATCGCGCCTAGATCTGACTCTTCAACTGCTGTAGAACCAATCGTCTCGCCATCGCCAACCTCAGTCTCACCAAGTCGCTGTAAGCTGTGCATGGACTGCTCGCTGGGTAGGAGACCGATCTGTTTGTATCCTGGGCGCACATATGGCGACGCCAACGGGCTAAATGCGACTGGCGGAGGCGACTTCTGCATGGTAGCGGGACTGGATGATGCGCTCGAGCTGGACTGCTGTCTGAACAGTCCGCGGAAACGGCTCGGCTTTCGATCGGTTTTCGGTGTCGCGTTCGCGGGAACGCTGAGGCGAGCCATGTCGATGTCTTTCGCGTTGACAGGCGTTTCCTTTGGTGTTGCGGATGACATCTGGAGGAAGTAGAGTGAGTGGAAGGGAACGAGCTGCGGAGTGTTGTGGCCGTTGTCGCGCTTTGCTAAGCGAAAGTCGCAGTGAAGGTGAGTCTGCACGGATCCAAACGCGTCGACTCTTCACTCAGCAATCTAACCTTTGAGGATTTGATATGACGTTCGATTCTATTATAGTTCTTCTCCCCTCCACGCCGCTGCGCAAACAGTCTCGTCGTGATGTTTGATGAGGCGCGACCACATGTTTGCTTGCATTACCTTCACTCAAGCGAACGATGCCCAATTCCGGTCGCGGCGGGGAGAGGTCCTCTTCATGAACTAAGGCGTGGAGCTTAATGCTTGCTCGTCCAAGCGTATCCGTGTCTCTTACGTTCCTAATGGATCATTCAAGGACGGAATGACGCGACCACCGGGGCGGCCAATGATGGAGCGCTTTTGCAAACATGCGATTTGGAACTTCGGACTGACAGCAAGCCACCAGTTCAGTAGCCCAGACAGTCAGTTCGTAGAGTATAGGGCGACTGATCTGTCTACGGCGCAGGCTTCTCGTATGGGTGCTAGACAGCCCAGTATTGTGTGCGTTGTCCCGGGAAACCGCTGAGTTATTTGATGACCATTGCGCAGACCGGCGGTATGCTGTAGTCGGTCTTTCAACCCTCAACGCTACCTAGGTACGCCTCACCTTCATCGCCAAGAAAGAGCCCGAAGTTTCAGACGATCCAAGGAAAGGTGGGTATCTGAAGAGGCGTACGTAGACCTAAGACTATTATAATACTACTAAACGCGCCGCTACTTTATTTATAGTCTACACGCGCTTTGTAATGCTGTTTACGCATACACGTAGCAGAACGGGCCCCCGATCGTGCTTATAGCTTCGCCTATAGTCACGTTCGGATATCCAACATACGGACCTATAACTAGCTTGTCCCCCAGCGTAGCGTTTGTGGCCGTAGTGTCGCCAATAGCGCCCGCGGAGCCCGCCACCGCCCTCCCGCGGCTTTCGAGATCTAGGTTCTGCCAGGTCCACCAGACGCGATCGATCATCCCGTGATGTGGATAGAATGCCGGGTCCGCAGGGCTGTTGTAGAAGTCCGACCCTGCATCGCCGCCTATCGTGTAGTGTCCACCTGTGTGCACTCCCATCCGCCCCTGAGCGAACGCACCCTGATACTCGGCCTGGAAGGACGCGATGTTCGTGTGGTTCTTGATAAGGCGAACGACCTCGGAATCCGACGTGGCGTTCGCAGCTTGCAGAGAGATATCGCGGCGCAGACAGCGAGGATTGTACCCCAGGCCATCAGGCTGCGGATTCGGCGAGAGACCACCGGGAATCTGAAGCATAGTCTGAAGTGGTCCCATGTTGATCTTGAAGCTGCCAGAAAGTCAGCTGGCCTGTGCGATATCAGTAAGCGATCAGAACGTACTCTTTGAAGGGGCCGGAAGTCACGCAACCGCCGCCTGTTCCAGGCTGGAGGTGCATGTAGCAGGGGCCAGCGACGCCGTCCCAGGGAAAACAAGAAGAGTTGCGATTGGGGATGTACTCCCCATCGCCAGACATGCTCGAAGCGCTACCGTCGAAGAACGGACCGCTCTTCGGGTCCTCGGCATAATGAGCCCAGTTGTAATATGGAAAAGTCCCCTGGAAACCACACTCGTCTCTAAGCATCTGTTCATAGACCCAGGTGAAGTACCGATGCCACGACAGGAAGTTTCCGGTGCCGTGGATGGAGAGCGACTGCTGGATATGAGTAACGACCAAGTCGTCGTAGCGACTCTTTGCGCCCGGCGCGACAGAAGCCGGAGTCCTCGCCGGCAGCTTGTGCAGGCAATTAACGGCATCGGTGTAGGCGACCCTCTCCTCGCGGGGTAGCGTTGCCCTATGTCGATCTCAGTGGTTTGGTGCTTCCAGCTTCGATATCGACTCACCATTCCCTTCGGACCGACAACTTCTCGGGTGTGCAAGTTCCTGGGCTCGGAAGACCACGTTTCGCCACGTGGAACATCAACTTTGTGAAGCCTTCAGCAGCAAGAGCATCATTTTCCATGAAGTTCACATGGGTGCGGCCAGCCAAGGCCAAGGCCGCACTGAGTACGCTGAAGAAGTAGACAGCCTTCATGGTCGAGCTTGTTTTGGTTGTCTAACGTTGATGCTACTCAGGATACAAGAACAAAAGTGATACCAGCTCAGACGGTGTAGGCACGCTGGCCAGTGAGGCCAGCATCCAGCTTTATAGGGTGGAGAATGACACGGTGGCGGGCAAGCCTCGGGAGCATCTAGCCGCTGCGAACTCGACCGCCAGGATCTGATAGGCAGAGCACGAACGTCCTGTAGGACGCATAGTCAGCGGCTTCGAGCTAGCTCCGCGAGTCTGGGGCGGCCCGGTGGAGCAGTGAAGGGGCAACGCCGTTGATTGAGTGAGACTGGGACCTGCAGAGATCATGCGCGATCAGAGACGGACACTCGACAGGACGCCTCACGGTATCGTTGCGGGTCATCGACGCGTCGGCCGATGACTTTGTTGCGTCCAGTGTAGAAGAGGAGAAAGACGACGTCGTTGGAGTCTCGGCCGCGCAAGTCGCGAGAAGTTATCTGGCAGTCTAGCGCACCGAGTGATTGTGGCATCTCTCTGGCCTGGTCTAGCACGTCGAGCGGCGTGGAGGTCTTGCCCTCATACGGCGACTGTGCCACATTAGAGTACGCGAGGCGGCGTGGTACAACAGCCCTGCACGCTCGCCTCCAATCGGGTCCAGTCCGCTCACCTCTCTGCCGCACCTGCACGCGACATTCGAGCACGAGGCGCTTGGCGCGTAGGAACACCACTATCCCGCCACATCCTCAACGCCCCACAGGAGCATAAGTGGAAATGTCTATGCATCGCGTATGCAAGGATGTACGCAGATGCCAACTCCGTCCCATGCTTGCCTAGAGCACAGCGAACAGACTCGACGACCCAGCAGCTACCATGACATGATATCGCTTCGCACAGCAGCACTGAAAGGCTCGAGATACGTGCCAGACTAGCAAACACACGCGCATGCTCTTTTCTAGCCGTGCCAGTTGTCTGCGGTAGTAAGGAGCTTATCGTGGAGCGCATGGCACAGGATGCCGTCTTAAATTGGGCTCCCTTCATCGGTTCCATTGCTACGGGACGGACGAGCATCGAGAAGTCGGCTCTGTGCCGTCTTTCCAAAATACGTTCATGTGCGTTGACCGCGCCGTAAGGAACGGTAACATGACGGAGCAGCAAGAACGTGTAGGGCTTGCAGCGTCCATCACGACCCCATAACTTCACAATCCTTCGCTACCTCACCAAGATGCCCGCTGCGCACTTACTCGCCTACTCGATACCACAGTACGTAGCAGCACTGTCGGTCGTTCTGACCCGCTGCTGGGCTCGCTCCAAGCGTGGCCGACCATACGGCTCGTTCGGAACCGACGACTGGGTGATGATCAGCGCGCTGGTACGCATCGTGTGCTGCAACCCGTTTCGGGACTCTATACTGACCCGGCGTACCTAGGTGTTTGCAACATTTTGTTTCGTGTTCTACATGCTCCAGGTCGGGCTAGGGCTGGGGAGTCGTGTCGAGCTACTTGAAGCCAACGCGGCTATGTATCGCCAGCTGCTCATGTTTCGCTTTTTCCACCAGATGTCGGTGGTAGTTGCGCTCGGATTGGTAAAAGTGTCGATATGCCTCTTTCTCCAGCGCTTGGTAGCGACGAACAAGTCGTACTCTCGGGCTCTCTGGCTTGCCATTGTGCTCATGGTTATCTTGACCCTCGTCAGCGTGGGGACGATAGTGAGTGAGCCCGTTCACGTCTCACGCAGCTGCTTGAAGCGCCTCCCTTGTTTAATTTATCCATGCTAAGCGATGGCACTGTGCTAGACTTTTCAGTGCGTCCCCATCACAGCGGCATGGGACTACAGGTTGCGTCCGCCGCCGTTCGGAGTGGGCAACGCAAAGTGCTACAGCCGGAGCACTTTCACTATCATCGGGCTCGGAAACGGGAGTAAGTTCCACTAAAGCCACTTGCGTCTTTCGATCTCGTTCCTGACCGTGTAGTCTTTCACATCGTCACAGATATCCTGCTCGCCCTCCTGCCGATCCCAATCGTCATCAAGCTCAAGGTCACAATCCGCATTCGTATCTCACTGGTTCTGATCCTCTCCTTTGGCGCGTTTGCGGCCATTGCCGGCATAGTGAGACAGACCAAGGCCAGTCCGCTTGATGAGCATGACGCTTATTCGATTTGGAACTTTCTCGAACTGCACATGGGTATGATCGCAGCGTCCCTGCCATCTCTCAAAAAGCCGCTTGCAGCCATCTGGGGCACGATTGCTGCGAGGCCTCAGGTACCTACTGGCGCAGCGAGAATGTCAAGCCTTGGAGATCTCACTAGCAAAGTGTGGCCGGGGTGGAAGGCTGTTATCCGTCATGGTTCACCGACTGAAAGCGGGCATGAGCTGGTGGAGGCAAATTCTTCTCCGGAAGTCAACCCTAAAAACAGCAGTGACGGTTTCTAAAGACCTGCGCATCTAGTAAGGGATTATTACACTGATCGAACAGTTTGAACAACCCTGTAGCCAGGCGGTGTCCGAGGATGCTGTCGACTGCAAGGACAACAACACTTGTCGCATCAAGACCCGGGGCGCGGGCGTACGGCGATGGTTTCGGTAACGGGCTCTCTTATCTCGCGTCTATACCTCGTTCGTTTCCTGGGTGGCGCCCACAGCACGTCTTGTGTACATCGATTTTGAGGCATCTGGACTCTAGCAATTCATTCTCATCTTGCCTACTCTCCTCGTTTCTTGATAGGTGCCGCAACGCGAAATCCCACTCCATGCGGAAGAAAATGATAGCCAAGGCCCGAGGGACAGATCGCTTCGGGCACACGGCCGTCCCGTCTCGCCCTGGAATACGTTCGGTGGTAGTCGGTGGCTCATTGTAACCCGCTCAGCAGTGCTCATCGCGGCCTTCTCTGCTGTTCAAAATTGTAGCTTGGACTGCTGGTCCGTGGACGTTAGTTCAGGGTAAACTTGATGTCTGCTAAAATTTGCTTGGAGCTAGCAGACCTAAAAGGTCCTCCCGGGTAGGGGCTAGTAGGCCTACGGACGTCTTCTTAGGTAGGAGGCAGGCCACTGCTATAGCTGGTGTACGCAGTTGCGATCTCTTGCAACGTGTGCGCAAGAACGCGAGCGACGCGACAGTTTATACCTTCTTCACTATCCAAACCTGCGCCAGGTATGCGTACCGCGTCAACGCTCTCCGGTTAAACCCGTATTCCGCCTCCTTACTCCGAACTTTCTTGCCCTCAAACGTCAGCTCGCCGCACTCGTCGCCCAGATCCTCGAACTCAAAGCCCGTCTCTTCAATGACATTGATGATCTCCTCCAAGCTCAGCTGCACGAAGGGCCCGGTGCCGTACAGGAGTGGGCCGAAGTTGATCCATCGACCACCAGGCTTCAACAGCCTCTGAATGGTGTCGAAGTAGGCCATGAGGTTGCGCGCCGTGTCGATGAAGAAATGGGTGACGATGATGTCGTAGTGGCCTGGTTGGTCGTTGAATGCGGTGTTGAAGTCGCCCTCGACAAGCAGGACGCCTGGGTTGGGGGTCATGTTGGGTATCGTCACACTCCGGATCATATCGGCCTTCGTAGCCTGATGCGACATTCCGTCAATAAATGGGTGTATGGTAACCGCGTGCGCTTCCTTTTGCGCTTCCATGTACCGGTATCCGACATTCATGAACATTGACCACTCGTTGATCGTGACCTCGAAGCCTGTCACTGCGTCAGTCGCCGCTCTTCTGCTTTTGCGCGCCACACTTACCTCCGAGATTGGCGACATCATGGCCCAGCCGACCGACTCCAGAGCCTGGAAGCAATACCTTGAGTGGTGCGCTTTCGGCTGACTCTGCTTTGATGGCGCTCAAGGTGCTCAGTACGCATGGGAACGCTTCGTTTCTCTCTTTCAGACCTTCGTCCGCCCAGTCGCGTACGTAGTGCTTCAGCGTTTGGGCTGTCGCAAACTTGTCTGCTTGGCGCTTGTCGCTCTCTGCCCGCTTCATGTGCTCGTCCAGCTCTTCCTGGCTGATGCCGTAGAACTTCATGGCGTGCATGGCTATACTCTTGGAGACCGCTGCATTCACGTAGATCAGCTCTTCGAGTTCATCGAGCTTCTTCGTGTAGCCGACGGTGTTCTCCAATGTCTGCTTCACTGTGAGCAACCGGTATCACAACGCGCACGTGCGACCGACCTTCTTCTGCTTCTTGCTGACGCTCTTGTACAGACTCCGCCAACGGTCCAGCTCAGCCATGTGGCGTTCGCGGTACCTTGTATATGCCCACAGCACCTCGAGGAGCCTGTAACGCGGGTGGCTCGTTCCCCATTTACCGCTCTTCTTGTCCATCCTTTTCAGCAGCTGTAGCTTCTCCCGTCGGTGGCGGCGCGAGGCGCTGTTGTCGCTTGGTGGCATCGCACCCATCATCAAGGGATCTTGCGCGACCTGCGCATTATCCATGGCGATCTTGACTTCGTCGGCGTTTAGTGTGTTGCTTGTGGCATGGGCTTGGCTTTCTCCGCTCGATGTTCCGACATTAGCCAGGGCTACTGAGCTGAGGCCTGCGATGAACAGCAGCAAGGATGTCTTCATCTTCCATGCGCCCAGGGCACGCGATCGTTCTGGATTGATGGCGCGACGCACAGTACCGCAATTCGAATTTTGCGGCTGAGTACCGTGTTGGCGCCAAGCAAGCCTCGATGTTAAGCGTTAGATACCGCAGATTGTGGGGTGTCGTTCGCGAAAGCATCAATCTCAAGACGAGCGTTCATACAGTCGCAATGTCATGCCCGTGGCAAATCGTAGGGAGACGACGACATGAGCTGCCTTCTATGCTCACTATAGTTAGAAACCTAAATAGAGTCTATTTAAGTTAAATAGTCTATGCGCAGATCTCTATACCTAACTCTATTTAAGATATACCTTCTATTAGAGTTAACTCCGTTGCGTGCAAGGCGACGTTGCGTGCAACACTAGGACACCCTATTACCCTATTGTAGCTCCCGGAGCCACAGCTTTTCACGTCCTACCGCAAGGTACACAGGTCTTGCCTAACCAATATGAGGCGACGAGGATACGTATCCTCGCGCTGAACTAGGCTAAGCGTTAGGGCTCGCTAACCCAGAACAGCGGAATCTGAGGGTATTCTCGTTTAGTATCCTAACTAATATAAGGCGACGAGGATACGTATCCTCGCGCTGAACTAGGCTAAGCGTTAGGGCTCGCTAACCTAGAACAGCGGAATCTAAGGGTATTCTAACTAATATGAGGCGACGAGGATACGTATCCTCGCGCTGAACTAGGCTAAGCGTTAGGGCTCGCTAACCTAGAACAGCGGAATTTAAGGGTATCCTCGTTTAGTATCCTCGCGGACATTGCTATCTAAATTCTATTATTTTTACACTACATATTGACTTTTTGCTATTAGAATATATCTTTTAGATAATAACACTAACAATTATCTATAGTTGCGCGTTGTATTAAGCTGCGGAAAATATAGAGTTCTCGTAGGTCGCGCAACTGCCTAACGCGCTAGCCGCCTAAGGAACATTAACTACTGCAATAACTGCGCGCCGCCTGCATAACCCGCCTGCATTACTTAACGCGATTAAGGATATAATATGCTATCTGCACAAGTACAAGACGCTTATCTGTAAGCAGCACGCGACTGCGCTATAGAATCTTAATGCGCATCTGCGTTAACATTATAGTGTTAGCAGCTAGCTACGGCAGTAGGTTATCGCGAGTTACAACAATCGCGAATAGATTCGCAACCTGCAAGAGATTTAGCTACCCGCACTACTAGGCCTACTAATTATAGAGCTTAGTGCACTGCTAGACAGCTTTTAGTGTGCAGAGGATAAGTGCGAATATATTACTATTAATATTAATAAGTTATAGATGTATTAGAAGAGTGTATATAAGCTACTATAGGATAAGAAGGACAACACCGCGTACAAAAAGGTTAAAGTGCAGACATTTTTTTGAGAAAGAGCGCTACGGCGATACTTTGTTATTTATAATAAAGAGAACAGCAAGCTATTTGTTCTAGGCAAGGTAGCTAAGGTTATGCAGGCGCAACTAGAGCGATAGGAGGAGACAAAGAAGATAGAAGAGGAGAAGGCGCAGGTTATAGAGGCAGAAGCAGCAAAAACTAAGAAAACAAGCTAGTTTAAGCAGACAGGCTAGCTAGAGCATCTTGCGAACCGGAACCGAAAGCATCTTGCGTATTAGATCCGGCTACCTGACTGCAGCGAGGTAAAGCTACAGCGGGCAGCGAAGTTAGTAGAGCTACTACTCGAGAGGAGTGTTAAGGGCTTATTAACACTAGCGCAAGAGTTACGATAATAGGTACAGAGCGCAAAGATGTTGGAGGCAGATGTACAGCCGTTAGCTCGACTGCAGAACCTAGAGAGTTAGGCAACGTACGTAAGCTACATAGTAAAGTTTATGTGCTACTTGCTGCGTATACTTGCTAACAAAGAGCGCAGAATTGCCTAGTTCTGACAGGGTAGTGTAGACGACAGCGATGCGGCAGAGGATTATAATACTACTTCTTCTAGGTCTAGCAGATCTAGAAGTGAAGCTAACAGCGACAGCTGCCCGCGCCGTTAAGCGCGCTAGAAAAAGAAACCCAACTTTATAAAGGACGCCCGCGAGCTCTTCTGCTAGCAAGGAGAGCAGAAGGGGCTAGCGATTACGTTATAGAACATGTTAGATAGGGCCGACACGGAGGCTTAGGTAGATGCATTGCTTAACGTGCTTGTATTGTTTATCTTTTAGTCTGTTAGTAACAACTTATTCCGCAGTAGATTGCTACATTTTCTTGCTATGCTAGGTATTAATAGCAAGATAGATTGTCTGCGCACAGCGAAACACTATTCGTACATGCTTGCTAGCATAGTGTACTACGTGCGTGTGCTTACTGTAGAAAAGCTGCTTTCTGCTGTATAGCGCGACAAAGAAACAGATAAAGACTGCGATTGCTTTCTAGTAAAGAGACAGAAGTTTCTCGCTAACAGGTTGTATAGTCCGATAAGCAAAATAATTAGCTTACTCGCGTACAGCAAGTTAGTTGCATTAGCTACTAGCAACTTAGGCAATGCATACTAGTCTAAGAATAAGAGGATCTTTTATCTAAACAGTCGCCCTATCTATATTAGCCGCTTCTGTTAGATAGCCTAAGACATAGTAGCTAAGGCGGAGCGTATGCTTTGGCAGGAGCTTCTCTAGGTAGCTTAGGCGAGCGAGCGCTTCACTATTTCGCTTAATTAGGTTACTAACAACGTTACGTTTACACGACGCAGCAAGTCTTTTATTACTCGCCGCGACAACGGGCTTAACAACAGGCTTACGTAGATGCTAACGTAGGCTTAAGAGAGAGGACTAAGTTAGAGGATGCAGTTAAGTACTAGCACATAGAGCCGGTAGCGGGTAAAGCAGTATTTGCGTTAGGTTAACCGC